TTAAATGAATATTTGTATATAGAGTTTCATAAGAACTCAGAAAGAGCTAAAATTATTACCAAAAGCTCTGTTTTGAAAAATTATACTTATGGGTGATTTCTTGAAATAGAATGGATTTTTTTTCCGTTTTTTTAAATTTAATTTATTTTATTTTATTTTTTATTCAGCCAGATAATGGGAGAGCTTTGTACTTGTAGCACAATGTTTTGACTCTGAAAAACTGTTTTTGGTGATTGTACTTGGATATTAAGTATTTGCTTGTATTAGTCAAGATTCTCCAAATAAACAGAACCAATAGGGTGTGTGTGTGTGTGTGTGTGTGTGTGTGTGTGTGTGTGTGTGTGTGTGTGTGTGATATATATAAGGTCGTGATATATCAAGGTAGTCTGGAAGAAGAGTTTCCTGTTCTTTGAGGCACCTCAGTCTTTTAAGGTGTTTAACTGATTCTATGAGGCCCGATTACATTATGGAGGGTAATCTGCTTTACTCAGTCTTACTGATTGAAATGTTAATCTCATCTGAAAAAAGACCTTCACAATGACATTTAGACTGGTGTTTAACCAAATATCTAATAGATAATGTGGTCTAGTCAAGTTGAGAAGGAAATTAACCATCACATTAACCTTCGAGATGGGACATAAGAATTATCTCTGTAAAGTTCAGGAAATTTATAAGGAGGCTGTTGATAAAGAATTCACCATGTAATGCAACATGAAGTCTCATGAGAGGCATTTCTTGGTCTTTTGCTTCTATAGAGGAAATATTGGCTTTTATCTGAGGGACATTATGAACTCTGTAACTAATTACAGCTTCCATATTTGCATTGGCTGCTAGGAAGCTCAGAGCCATCATTGGCCCAGCTTGAGAGGAGACTGGGACATTAAGGCATACATTTTAGGTGCCTAGCATCTGCGTCACCTTGATAGGGACCCTGTTTGTTTGTTTGTTTGTTTGTTTTTTTACTGTTAAATCACCACCTCCTAATATTTGTAAATATTTATTGAATAAATGTATTAATATATACATTTTTATAAACCACCTCAAATTCACTTCAGAATAAAGCACAGCATAATTACTACATAAAATTATCATGCAGTCTATAAAATATTCTGAATTTTAAAAATGCAATTCTAGATTGTGAGTGAGAAAAAGAGAAAGTAGATAATGCTAGGCATTCATCTGAAAAGTGGACCCAAACTCCAAGTTGATTAAACAGAGTAGGAATTGAAATGCTGACCTTCATTCCTAATCTTTGTGACTCTTCTCATTTGTTGAATATGACTTAGTGAAAGTGAGCTGAGCCCTCTTCCTGGTATTGAGTGGCTTTGGTGAGGAGGAAGTGTGATCTACACACTCACCAGGAGGCTTTTAAGTCTTTTACATAGGTGGTTGCTACCAGAAGAATCATTTTCACAATACATTGTTTATCTTTATGTAAGAGTAAGAAATGCTAGATGTTTCTGGCTGGGTGTTTTGAGGTGACTATGCATCAAGCTCATGGATGAATCTTATCAATTTAGCTGGTTTTTACATGTTAAACTGAGTTTACCTATGGCCAAGAATGCCTTAAGATTTCCCAAAGCTTGACTGAAACTTACAGTTTTCTTCTTGACTCCAGGCCCCTGATCTCCCTTTCCTTAGAGCATTTACTTTAGAAAAACTTGTAATTCTAAATTCTTTTTCTGCTTTTTTGAGATAAAAATCATTTTTTAAGAGCTTTTTGCCAGTTTTGAGTCTTTCTCAAGGACCTGAGCCATGTTGTCATCAGTTTTGAAATGCAGTCATAATGAAAGTTAAAGTTAGTGTACCTATCTCCTAGTTTCTGTGGGAGGGAGGAGCCTAGCTTCAGCAGGCACCTTGCTCTAAGTGTAAAGCCACCTTTGATCATAGAGATCCAAGAAAGTTTACATTTCTTTGGGGTCCAGCTCAATAATAAACACAGATGGCCTATAAGCCCCACCCCCCATTCCAGCTTTTAAAAATGTTCCAGTCATTGTTTGAGCTGAGTGAGTTCACACTGAGTCTGGCTTCTCCTCTCTTCCATATTACAATAGCTTAAATAGTCTTGCTTACCTGTGTAATTTTGCCCAGTATAATTTTTGCTTTGACGCCTGGTTGCCAGGTCTGTAGACACTGACATTTTAAGCACTGATTTACAAGCCAAAGTGCCAGTTTTTATATTTTAGAAAGATAAATATTTCTGAACCAGCATCTCAATATCAACAAATCGTATAGTATAAAAAAGGTACAACCAGAAGTCCAAACCAAGAGAATATTGGTAAGTTCAGAATTAAAGACAATCAGATGTTCTCATCTAGCTTGTATTATTTACCACTTTCATTTTAGAATTACTTTAGCTTAAATATCCATGGCTATGGCCTAACATGAGGAAATGGCTTTCTCTTAATCATTGCTGGCTGAACATTTACCGTGTTTGAAAAATTCCAATGGGCTTAGTTTCTTCCCCAGTGACAATGCTGAATTTTACCTGAGCCCTGTGCCCTTGGAAAATCACAATGATCAAGGGATCCCAATACCTTTGTGTTCCAGGAAACCACTTCTTGCAAAGAACCTCTTTCCTGATATTAGATAAGACCCTCAGCTGAACCTTCTGTTGACTTGTGACAGAGTAAGACACAGAGCCTCCAAATTCCTATTCTTTGCCTCAGAAATGACTTGCTGAACTGTTTGTCCTCACTGATCAATCTGAACAAACTACTTGCTAACTTAACTTGACCAAACTTTAGTTAGGTGTCTTGTTTTCCCCAGGGCTCCTAAACTTTGGCTCACCCTTGAGTTTAAACAAGGGAAATTAATTGGGAAATTAACCAAGCACTGGAAGGTGGAACAACCTCCGCTAACCATCTCTCCCAGAACTGGCCGGCCACAAAGAAAGACATTTCCTATTCAAATACTGATTACCCGGTCTGTTTATTCCACTTTCCCACCTGCAGTCTTTCTGGGCTTATTAATTCTTCCCTGTAAAAGGAAAGCCCTTTCTGCCTCATGTCTGAGATGCTTATAAGTTTTGCAGTTGAAGTGTTCTCCCCATTGCAAGTCTTTTCAAATAAAGTCTCTCCTTATTTAAGCCTGAATTTGTTTTTTCACACCTGAAAATAGTTGCCATTTTCATTGGTTGCCAAAATTTCTTTTATCTCTACATTCTGTGGTTCTTGGTTCTTAAATATATTTCCTACTGCATTACCCCAGTTCCAAATATATCTACGGAAGCATCTCAGGGGGCAAGATGATTTTGTCATCATGGAAAATGTTGTGTAGATTGACATGCTAGAGACACATTTAATTTATATTCTTTGATGAAATACTACAAATTTGTAGAAATTAATGGATTTTGACAGATAACTCTGGAGAACTAAGACTAATGAAGTTTTTCTAAGATGCTGAGAATGATTCAAAATGTACAAACAAAATTTTCTGTAGCAGCAGTTTACTGACTGCACTTTTTCTTTTTCATTGTGGCTGTATGCTTTTAGCAGTGTCTGAAGCCAATCTGAAATTTCAGGTTGGCTTCCCTCTTCCATGTGCTATTGCATATGTTCAGGTACTCACCAAATTAGTGAAATATTAACTACATTTTTCAAGAGGATTTGAAAAGTAAAGCAGGTGCAAATAGAAAGAAGCACACATGGATTATAGAACCAAATCTATTTAAGATCACCTGTTATTTTGGAAGGCAGCTATGCTCACCTTTTACTACCAATGCTGCACTCATCTGTTATTTTGGATTAGCTATGCTTTTCTGTTACAATCAGCTACTGGCCTCACTACCGCCATGACAGTTGATGCATGTTTTCAGTTTTATGCTTCGGCTACTTGCCTGAAAAAACATCTCCATGGAACTTGTTATTATTTGATATGGGGACTTAATTATCTAGAAGCAACAGGTAGAAATACCATAGTATCATGGGAATGGCCCCCGAGTAGAAGTCAGAAAACCTGGGCTCTAATATTGGGTCTGTCATTTATCTATGGTGAACTTAGGTCAGTTAACCTCTTCTGTGTCTCCATTTCTTTTTTATGTGATTATTTATTTATTTTTATTCCCTTGTGCCAGTCCCCTCCTCCTCCCCTCCCCCCGCCCCTTTGGCAACCATCAGTTTGCTCCCCTATATCTATGGGTCTGTTTCTGTTTTGTTTATTCATTGTTTTGTTTTTAGATTACACATATAAGTGAGATCATATGATAGTTGCCTTTCTGACTTAGCATAATGCCCTCTAGGTCCATTTATGTTGTCGCAAATGGCAAGGTTTCATTCTTTTTTATTGCTGAGTAATATTCCAGTGTGTGTGTGTGTGTGTGTGTGTGTGCGCGCGCACACCGTATCTTCTTTATCCACTTGTCTATTGCTGGCTATCTAGGTGGCTACTACTAGTAATGCTGCAGTGAACAAAGGGGTGCATATATCTTTTCAAATTAGTGCTGTGTTTCCTTTGGGCAAATACCCAGAAGTAGAATCGCTGGGTCATATGACAGCTCTATTCTTAATTTTTTGAGGAATCTCCATACAGTTTTCCATAGTGGCTGCACTAATTTACATTCCCATCAACAGTGCATGAGGGTTCCCTTTTCTCCACATCCTCGCCAGCAGTTGTTATTTGTTTACTTTTTGATAACAGCCATTCTGACAGGTGAGGCAATATCTCGCTGTGGATTTGATTTTTCATTACTCTGATGATTAGCGATGTTGAGCATCTTTTCATATGTCTGTTGCTCATCTCTGTGTCGAGTCTCCATTTCTTTAGGATAATTAATTCCTGCTTCATGTGGACACAAGGACAATATAGGGTAAAAAGAGCTTATTAACATTTAAATAATATTGTTTATTACTCATTTCACATATGCATTTTATATCTTTAATAGATTGTGAGCTACCTACAGTCCCCTAACATAAAAGTAAACACATAATAGTTGTTCAATAAACACTTTTAAATGTGTGACCTGATAGGAGTATAAGAAATACTAAAATAAATTCCACAAATAATTCAACAAACATTTATTGTGGGAACATCATTGTGCTAGGTCCCTTAAGAGATACAAAAATGGATCAGACATGAATCCTGCCCTCCAGGCACTTACAGTCCACCAGAGGATATCAGAAATGTGTATAAATACCAAGATAGAAGATTTTAAAAGTCCTAAGAGAGGTACAGAGCAGTGCCATAAGAGTTCACAGGAGAAATTATTTCTAGCTTGGAAAATCATATAAAACTTGGTGAAGATGAAATAATGAGGTGTATCTTAAAGCATCAATCAAATTTGGATGTGGAGGAAGGGGAAGGGCTTCCAGTCTGAGGGCACAAAGATCCTGGCAGGTCATAGTGCAGTGAGCTCAGAGGGAACCGCCCAGGACTGTCTACGGAGACAGCTGCAACTCAGCTTTGGTAGAGTGTGTGTGTGTGTGTATATATATATAAGTGCAGTGGAAACTTAGTGGACTAGAAGAGAGCTTCCTTACAATTATGAGTCTTAATCATTTTTTACCTATATATTTTTTTCTTACAGCTTAAAAAATAAAAAGTGCTACTGCAACTTGGCATCGTTCTTAGAGTAACCAAAAAATGTACCCTGACATTTTTAAGTGTACAATTTCTGGTTAGCGTTCATATATTAATCTAATATTGAGTTGCTAGAACGAGACAAAAATAGAAGTGGAAAAAAATGTAAGATTTTGTTTTATGGCAGTGAATATTACGGTTTTATAAGAAATGTTATTCTAATAGATTGAATTTGTTTTTTTTAAACATACAGATATTTATGGTTTCAAACATGCTTATTGGGGATTTTTTCACCAAGATTTTACAATTTGAGATGAGGAACTGCATACAAGGTTTTCATTCATTCTACAGGTTACTGAGATGGAGCTGAGCATTATGAAATTATGTATATCTGTATGTATATACATACACGTACACATATGTGTGTATATCTATAGATCTAAAGATATAGATCTATAGGTAGATGACTAAGAAAGATGGTGAGATAAGTTTATGAAATATTTGTTCATAACACTAGAAAGTCATCTGATAAATTTAATAAGCATTTAATATTACAATTATGAAGTTTATTTTATTGAAAAATCAGTCCTTAGTTATGTTATACTCTTTTTGTATAATGATGTTCCTTTTGCTTTTAAAATCTGATTAAAAATATACTTTTCACATGTTTACATTGAGAACATTATAAGTATCTGACAGTTCAGCCTGAGCTGGGCGGTTGTTAAGGCTCTAGCTTAGGGGCGCACTTGAGTGCTGAGCACCTTTGTCTCCACCTCACAGCCTGCAGGGTAGGGGCCCCAAGGTCCTGGGTAGCAGGAGACAGCTCACTGGAGTTTCTGACAGACCACAGAAGACTATGCAGCTTAGGTTTAACAGCAAACAAAATAAACATTCTAGGAATTTTGAAGACCCCAGTCTCCTCTCCATTCCCTTTACTTCCCTCTGGCTAAAAAAAAACCAGTCTCATCATGCATGGACAGGACAGACAAGAAAATCGCTGAAGTCCTTCCATGGTGTTTCATTTCATGCAGCTCTGAGGGAGCGGGTGACATCACTGGTGTGACTTTGACACAAGAGAGGACACTAGGGGCTGTGGTGCAGTCAGCTCACTTCAGACTTCCCACTTTAGAGATAAAGCAACTACCAAATACACCCACTCTTCTTTCTGCTTGAGAATATACAGATCTCTTAAAACCCTGAATAAGTTCTTTTTTTTTGTATTTTATGAAGAACTGTAGTACAAGTAGTTTCTTTTATGAAACATGCAGTGAACCTCATTACTTATAATAAACGTTTTCCCTGTGTTAGTTTTTGTATGGTAACTTACTGTTTTCTACTAGTTGTCTTTTTGCCACAAGATAGAAGAAAAAAACAAACAAACATATTTACTTGAGTATGATGGCAGCAGGTTTCTGACAAGCCCATTTACATGGTACATTGTTCAAATGGTGTTGGAGTAGAAAATACAGAAGCACTATACAAACCTACTATTACATTTGAGAAATCATTAGCCTCAAAGGAGTAATAACGGTATGCTATTAAAACCGTGAATACATTTTCAGTATCTGTATTGGAAAAAAAGTTATAAATATGTAAATTTCTGTTCAACAAATCTAAAATAAAATGCACTAAAAAACTGATATGTAGACAAAAGTTTATTTACACCATACAACATTTTAAATATTTTATACACAGCTGCAGCAGAGAAAGCTACTCAGAGCTTTCTAGAGAAAACTGCAATAATAAAGATGTGAAATATATTATTCATATAAAAGTGAGATTATTACTTTATTGCATTTAAAGCAATGAAGAATGTAGCTCAACAAACATTCATTTAATGACAAAAACTTTGCTTTTATATTATAAAGTAAAAAGTGTAGTAATGGCCAAACAGACTGTTATAAACTTTAAAAACTGCATAAATATATACATTGTGCTTCATGGTGAAGTTTTTTGAAAACTAAACCATATGAAGCGGTTACAACATGAATCGTTGCTTGAGGTTTATCTATAAAGATTACCTTACAAATCCATTCCACGGGTACTTACAACACAGGATGGTCAGAACTGTACACCTGGTCCTCCCTCCACTAGCCTGACTAGGTAGAAGCGACCATATGCAAACACCACTGACATTTGACATGGGAATGTCCTGACAGAGGATGGTCACACTGTCCAGCTAGAAATGTCAGGCTTCCCGAGTCTGAAGGGTCAGTGCAATACATTTTGTCTCCATCTCAGTCTGCTTTGATTTCGTTAAACTTCTGTTTGAAAGTCACCCTCTTGCACGTCCAGAGGCAAATTCAGACACTTCTCCCACTCCGCTGGCCTCAGTTCCAAAGCATCCTTTGCCTCTGTGTCTAAGACATTGATGGTGGTGTAATGTTGGTATTCACTGGGGTTTTTGAAAGTGTCCCATGGATTCTTGTTTGGTGCTGGGTTTTCCTGTTTAGAAGAGAAGGGAAGAGAGTAATTTCTTGGATGACTAGGATTGCCTCTTGTTGATGTTTCCAGGAAGAGAGCATGTTTGTAACCGTGATCCAGTTTATATGATTCAGGGATGATCTGAAATTGTGGCCAGCTGTAGGAAATGGTTTTGATTTCGGTTTGCTTTCATTGAACAAATGGATGGACACCTTCAAGTTATCCTAAAATTTTCTAGCAATCAATGGAAGTAAATAGTATTACAAAGGCAAAGCAGATGTTTTGGGTATCTTGTGAAATGTTAGCAGAACTGCATGTTCAGGTAGGAAGGAGCACTAAACCACTGCTAAGATTAAATGTAAAAAATTTAGGTATTTTCCAGAATCTTGGGCAATGATCTTTGTTTATCCCTGGTGAGGAAATGTAATGGGTGGAGCATGTTATGTAATAATAAAAACAGTTACTCAAACTGGCCATATTTCATAAAACTGATTTTTTGTTATCTTTGCTTAGTTTCTCCTCAAGAAATTATCCTTTTTAGAATATTAAAATGCTATGTTCTTTTTATGTAATCTATCCTTTTTCATGCTGTGCATTCCCCACAAATTCCTATATAATTGTGTGGTGCACTAATTTTGTAAACATCATTCTTCCCTCCAAAGAGCACAGCTTTTTGGAAAATGTATCCAGCAATATCATGATTTTTAAGAAAAACTACCAGCCAGCATCCCTTCATGTTTCATAGACTACACCCTCTTAGCACCTCAGATTTAAGACCTGCCCAATTATGACTCCACCCTTCCACGTTGTAGGTGCTCAATAAATAAATGAGAGACATCCTTTGAGGTTTCTATAGCCTGATATTTTGCTAAGGTTTAGCAGTGAACGTGCTTTATTTTAAATATTTAAATATTTTTATAAAATGAGGGAATTTTAATGGGATAGACTCAGCTGAGTAACATCAAAGATCAAGAAGAAAATCATGACTGAAAGCTCCTTAGAAAAAAATTAAACTAAAACAACTATAGTTGTTGAATATATCCTTTACCCCGCCCCCAACCCCAAATTCTGGCCTTTAATAATCAGTTAGCAGGGGGGACATAAAACAGGTACTTGAATAATTATCTGGGTGCCACCCAGTATATTAAAAATCATTCTCAAGTGTGGATAAGCAAAAGGCACAAATCTATAGAAATACTCGTAACTAGAAATTAAATTGCTAAAATCCTCATTACGTTAGATGTTGTCAGCACTTATTAGCCTTAATCATAAGGACATACAAGGAAAACATAGCTAATAGTAAAGATTTAATGAAAAATTCTCCTTTAGGATATGTGCAGGGGTTTAATTCTGATTTAGTCTAATATCCTAAAGTCTCATGAACTATAGTGTTGTAACTCTCCCCTTCTTTTTCCCTCCTTTCCTCTCTTCAATATTTATCAGCTGCTCTGTTGGGCATCATATTAGGCACTCACGAGAATAAGGTGATAAATCCAATATGGAAAAGCAGCATGGTCCACTGGGTAGCATAGGATTTAAAGCCTGATACATGCAGGGCCAAATTCCAGTTGCTCCATTTCATATGAATAGTGACTCAATTTCTCTGAACCTCAACTTCAATATTTGTAAAGAAGACATATGCTTTGCATTGTGGGCCACACGAGTTGGCAAAATGTGTAGGTCGTTACCCACTTTGTGGGGCTGCACAAACAAAAGTGGAGGGGCCTAGCATAACGCCTGGTACTTAGTAAATGCTTGCTGTATAGTAATCATAGTCTTTATGAAAGTGTTTAGAGTTAAATGGAAGTATAAATATATGGATACAGTATATCTATACTGTGGGGGTCCAGAGGAGGGTGGAGATATGGTTTTTTGTGTAGAGCACATAACCTTTCTGAGAACAGTGACAATAGGGCTTGGTCATGAAGACATGTATGTGGTTGGAGGTCAGGTGGCTGAACAGGCACGCATACTGAGAAGTAAAAACCCAGAAAGCATGGAGATGGGGCAACTCTGAGAATAGCAACCAATGTATTTTAGTCAGCATAAAAAAGAACAGCAGAAAAAAACAAGCAGAAGTGAATTAAAAGCCAGATTGTGAGGGGTGTTGCATGCCAGGCTATAAAATTTGGAATTTATTTTGTAAGCAATGGGAATAGTTGAATGTTTGGAGGCACTACGGTGACCTCAATTATTAATCATCAAGTAAAATGTTCACTGGTGTGAATTATGCTGAATCAAGCCAGAGTGGATTATTTATCCATCTTAGACAAAGGGTGTGTCTACAGGAGCTTTTTGAGAATCCTTAGTTTGACAGAAAGTTCAATTAGTTCAATCCTAAAAGGGTTCCTGATATGTAAAGTGTTAGGTCATTTGCTTTGAAAATAGGGGTTCCATTATGCTTGGAATAGGTGTGATTTTCCTTTTCGATTTTGACAATCAAGCACGATGGACCCATGAACTAAAAAGGCCAATTTTAAACTCTGTCAGAATATCTAGATTCTAATTTCAAAGATTATTATTGCCAGTACATGACCGATTGAATTTCTGTGACGCTCTATTAGTGGGTGATGAATTAATAAGGCTGGCCTCTTTGTTAATCTCCTCTGGCATCCCATGGCACTCCCAGCTGAATTGCGGGTCTCACTCTCATTCATAAATGTGTGGACACACTTCAGGTGAGAGGTCTCGTGCTGCTTTAGTGGTACAGAGCTATTGTACCCAGCAATCAGAGTGGGACAGGGTCTGCAGGGAGTCAGCAGGGCTAGTAGTCAGGGGATGCTGTCCACAAGCTACTGACCTTCTCATAGGGTTGGGTGTGACGAGAGGAGCCTACAGACTCTCGTATGGAGAGGTGTAACATTTTCAGTGGGCCAAGTGAATGAATGATAAACTGTGGAACAGCCCCCCAAAAATCATCAAATTTGGACAGTAAGAGCTATAGAGGCCAGGGCAGGCTTCAATGGAGACCTAAATTTACAAGATTTAATCAGAGCTAGTATAGTATAAGTTCCTAAATTTATGCAGCTGTCGTTTACTTTGTTAGCTCAAGTACAAAATGGAGAAGATGTAGTTAAACTGAAGCCTGTGTGATAAAGGCCTAATCGATTATAAACTCAATGTAAGCTAACATGGGAAAGCTTCCAAAAATGCTAATTTGGTCTTAGGCTGTATAAACGGAAATAAAACACAGGAGGACTGCCTGAGTGTGTCTTATAGCTAGCTCATTGGTCCAGGGCAGGCTAGCTGTCACTTGTGGATAAGCCCCTCCCTCCATCCTTTTCTTTTTTCCTCCTTCCCAACCTGCTTCCAACCTACCAATATTGGGGACTAAATGAAAAAGAATATGCTTATTCTGTATCCTAAAAGCAAAAATCTGGAGAAGCTCCTTAGGGGAAAGAGGTCTTAAGGGAGACTGGTTTGTGGGACACACTCAAAGTAAAAGTTCTTCAAACAACACCTTTACTTTGTAGTGTGATTTAAACATCCTGCCTGGAAGCAGGGAAATGGACTACATGGTCTTTTGGTTTGCCGTCGAGTCCCCAAATGCTACATAATTACCATCATTTGCAGTGCTAGGCAGGTGTTGTCCATTAGTAGCCAAAAAAAGGGAAGACTTTATTGAGATTTTGGTTTTGAAAATGTCTTTCTCTACCCAATTCTGCAATTTTTTATTAGCAGCATGCCACTATGAATTATATAACCGAATTAAGGATAATGGACTCACTTGCATGTTCATTATTAATCAAAACTGAATAAGAAACTTCTGTTCTCAGATATTTAGGACAATAGTCAAGCAGCGATGGCAACTCTCTCCGCCCTACTCCTAACCTCCCAAGTGATAAATATTTATATATTTTTTCTAGAAAAGACATGCTGCTACAGAAATGTGGGATAATTAGTAGCCTATTTTGGTTTTCAGGAAACTGAGATAAAAATATTTCTGCCAATAATGATTTAATAGCCATACCATACAACACGGGGAAATTACAATCATATTATAATGGTCAGCAAGCTGTATCTGTTGCATAAACTTTTCATATTTGTAAACATAACCCTTGCTTTTTATTATAAACAAATACAGTTTCTTCAGTTTATTTCAATGTTAGCTTTTGACATTCCAAAATGAGTAGCTAAGATGTTTAGGTCTATCTAATTTTAATGGTGCAACTCTCATTTGCCTGCTAGCTGAAAATTGACAGCTTAATATTTGGAGAAGTAGATGAGAACCACTGTGTTGGTGATCACATATAATGCATGAGTCCTGCTGTAAGGAGGAAAATAGATTGATATACATATGAACTATTTACAGGCCAACTAAGAGTTAAAGTGTATAGTATTTCTTATAACCTTCATTTAACAAACACAGATTTATCTATTATAGACATGCATTAAATCAAGTGCAGCCACTGATTGTTAACTCATCATGACCAGAACTGTACTTGTGCTGAGAGGAACACAGGGAAAACATAAAGATACATAAATTCTTGCTCTTGATAAGCTAGTATCACTAATCGGGGAGTCAGGACTGACTCGTAACACATATATGGCAGAATCACTAGAGTTAGAGGGTGATCAAACACCATGTATACCTTGGAGCTATATCTGTATCTATATCATCTATCCATTTCAGAGCCCCAGATGTTGGGAGGAGGAGGAGGAGGTCCATCCAAGGACTATAAGCCGTTTGTCAAGTAAAAAGCACCTTATTTGGAGTAAAGAGTGGTGTCAGGTAGACCTCCCAGCTCTTTCTCTGATAGCTGAGTCTCAGCTTCTTACCCTCTCAAGTGCCCTGCTCACTTAGGAATGTATTGTGAGGTACAAACGAAGCATATATTAATGACTGTTTTCTATATTCAATTTAGGAGAGCATTGAACTTTAGAAGCCTGAGTTGAGTATCGAGTTAGGTAACTTGCTCAAGATCTGACAGTTCTTGGCTGAGCTTTCTGTTGGTATACTGATTTCTAGATTCCTGGTTGGGTGCTTTCACAAATAATTACATGGCCTTCTCTGGAGTCTGACTGTGCCATGCTCACAGTAAATGCAAAATATCATTTTATTTGATGAAGTCATTTGTTAGGATTGTAGTAGTTGGAATGAATGAGAAGAGAATGGTGACAACCAACAATCAAAGCTCCCTAGTATTGATGTGAATCTCCTGGAGACAAAACCTACCAATGTGGTTTGAGGTAATAAGTCATTATATATAATGAGTTGTGTGTGTGTGTGTGTGTGTGTGTATATATATACACACACACACACTCATATATAATTACATTTTATAATCTTAAAATGCCAGGCATTCAAAGAAAATGAAAAAAAATAGTTATTCATTTGGATATTTGAATTAACATTTAATTCTGAAGATAAAAGAAACCAACACATTTTTGATATAAATAATTCCAATTAAAGCTTATACATGACACCATCTGAAATATGAATAAAAATGCTTAAAGATTCTGTCATTCCTAATTTGCCTCTTAGCACATACCAAAGTACGTTTTGGGGTTATTTTTCTACTTATGTCTCTTGGGTTCCCAAGACAATAAGGAGCTCCTGGAGGGCAGGGCTAATAGCTGATATGACACATCATTAGCGAGTCATCAGGCATTGATGAAACAAAGCATACTCACCATACTGCTTGTATTTGGTATATCCCGAAATCTGTCCAAAGTTTGAAATTTCTGATTTAGTTCCTGAAATAGTTCCATATGCCTCTTCCTTGTATGCATGACCTTCTGCAAAACAGAATAGGATGGATTTTATTTCTAATTTGATTTATGCATTAAAAAAATAATATTTTGCCTTACTAATAAGGGAAATCAAGTTTGGCAGGAACCAGGAGGTCCCAAAAGATGCCACACATGCAAATTAGTTGCACCAAATGCTTGTCTTATAGTCAGCACTTCTTGAACATGAAGAATTGGCTTTTTCGTCCACTTACAAGATTACCAAAAAATAGTTTTCTCTTGTGGGTGCATTAAAAATATAGCATTCATTCCTGTGTAAGATTTTCATCATTTAGAGTTAAAACTGTCTTATAGAAATTGTTATAATATAAAAAAGATGTTCAAAAATTTGGACTTGCAAAGCACCCGAGTCTCTCAATGTTTGTTATGGGGAATATTACTTTTTAATGTTTTATTTCTATAAACACTAAAATTGTAGCTGACTGTACTAAAGGGGGAGCAAAATCCCAGGCCCTGCCATTTAAGGCTGACTCAAAGCACTAAAGTGTCTGAAATATATGTAAGATCTAAAATCTTGGACTTTCCATGTGAATACTGATTGAGCTTTGCAGAAAGAAAATATGACCCATAGGTTTCATATATCTGTTCACGAGATGGTACAGAATCTTAGCAATTAGGAGTCAGAGCATAAATTGTATGGTTGATGAGTTTCTAAAATCGCAGACACAAACATATTAATACTCTTTATCCCTGGTTACTGTTGTTTCTCCCAACTTCATCATAACTCAACAAATGGAGTCATAAATGAAAATGACCTTGGGGTAAGTAACATGGGCTGAATCTTTTTATTTTAAAGAGCATTTAAAAGAGCACAAACAAAGAGGAGTAAGATAATAAATTCCCTGTATTTACAAGTGCTATTTAAAAGGGGAAAATACCTTTCCTCAATTTTGAATTTTACAAGTTAAAAATACAGGGCTTCATTGATTGTCCAAGATTGAACATATTTGTGTAAGATTCTATAGTGTTTTAATGCACGTGTTTCATAACTTACCATTTGCTCATATGGATGGCATAGGTATATTATATTCACACCTAAGCTATAATTGGAACATTTGGTGTATTGTTTTAATTACCAAATATTTTCAAAAGTAAGGATTTGTTTTGAAAAATATATGTATCTTTGGGGGAACTTCTACAATGCCCAATTTTCTTCTAAAAAGACACTTGTGGAGAACACTTTATCTCTTTTAGGGGGAAAAAAAGGCAAAAGAGAAATGCAAATTGAATCTTCAACATATTTTCAAACGCCTTATTCTCTTTTATGTCAACTTTAATTTCCTATATGTAATGGATCTTTCGGCAATGCTTTGTTTAGCTAATTTCTTCTCTTTTCATTAGCCTACTTTTACTTGAGAGAATTCTGCCATTTTAAGTCTTGCTACAACCAGGTTATTTTTATCTTTACTCCTCTTAGCTGTAGGAGTTGGCTGGTGATGAATCAGGTGGTTGAGGATGAGAACATGGCAACATTACTCATGACGGGGACGTGAAACATAGAGAGCAATTATAGAGCGATTAACTTCCCATCAGTTTTGGGGAGAGTACAAGAAACAGATTTGCAGGATTTACAGGGAAATACCAGGCAAACATAATTTGACTAGTGAAGGCTGATAGAGATTTATGAGAGGGAGAATTTGCATAAACAACTCAATGGAGTGATTATGAGGACTCCATAGCTGGCAACCAGTACACTCGATCCTCGGGGAGGCAGATATTCCCATGTAGTACCAGGGCCTAAGACACTGAAGAACATATGGATTTGTGTGACAAAGAATACCTTTTAAAAAAACTATAGTTGTCAGAATGTGGACTCTGGCTCTTACTCACAAATAGTATTTTTCATGATAGTGAATCTTACTATATAGTTATTTTCTGCTAGGGTGCAGTAGGAGTGATGTCACACTAGTGACATTTCTCTAAAGCTATTTTACTCTGTCAGTTAATATATATTCATGAGCATCACATATTGTGCTAGATGGTGGAGTAACAATGGTGTGCCAAATCTGGTAGAACTCCGGTAGAGTTCCTTTCCTCTTATTCCTTGAGGTATAATGGAGGACAGAGGCGTTAATTACATAATAACTAAAATACATGTTAAATTAGAACTGTGATAAGGAAAACAAATGGTGGTGTTAAAAGAGTGATAGGGAAACAGGCTAAAAGAAATCCAAGTGAGGCAGAATTCTAAATTTTCACTTTTAAGTTGAAAATCCTTATGTCAGTTATCTCTACATCTTGTCTGTTCCTTCCATTTTCTAAAATTCAGACAATTTATGGTACAATTTTAAGTCTTAAGTTGGAATCCCCTTTCCTCAACAAGATTGTTCCTTTCCAAAGACAAGAACTCATTGTCTTTTCAGACAGTTGATATTATTGGCACCATTCCCTCAGTTTAAGGTGATTTTGCCTGTGCAGTTCATCTTCCATGAAGAAATCTTGACTTTGCATGAGGAACTATATCTTCCCATGTTGTCAAAAATGTCAATCAAGGTCCCTACCCATCCCCTCGCTGACAGGTGGATTTTTTCCATATCCATCCATCAGAGTTCTCTTTTGTTTATTAGTCAAGGGCACTCTCTGTGTTTTGCAACCAAATATGTATCTCTGTTGGATAAAGCATGTTTAATGAATCAAAGTGTCCAATATATTTCATACACTTAAGGATGCATTAACTGATTGAATGGGCAGCACCTGATTCTGAACTGAGTGTATTTTACTTTGAGAAGTTGGATTGCTAGGACATACTCAGAAATATATTTAGTGAACACCAATGCTATATAGCCAAAAAACATTTTACTACATGCTACATGGGTTCATGAAAGCTACTCTCAATGATAAAGCTTAAGGGTCCTTAAATTAATATGGAAACAAATGAAAAAATTGGATGCTGAAATCTGGGGCTCTTCTTACCTAAAAACATTGATTGCAAATATATCCACTTGCCAAATAATCATTCTAATTTGAAATTCGCACTTTGGCACAGCCAGAAATCACCACAGCAATGATGGTCTGGTGGTTCTGACAGAAGTACCATGTTGGAGCTGCCCATCAACAGCTCATGTATCTGTCATGGGCTCAGTTTGATTTTCTAGGCATGATTTCTTCTTGTTCAGAAACTCAAGTACATCTCTCAGCTTTTTTAGTGGGGAAAGTTCCAATAACAAGAAAGCCAGCATTATAGCAAATATTGAACAGTTTCTACCCCAGCAATGATCTGGGATAAAAACTTAGCTGCAGTTTTAGTTTTCACAGGTGATAAGGGTTTCACCTTATTTATTTACTAGTCTGAGTAATTATTTATTTGTAGCACCAATAATGCCTTTGATGGTCTTAATCACTTAATTAGAAGTTTTCATGCTTATAAATTCTATTGGTCCATTTTAACAGCTCTTTTTTTTTTTTTTTATGTTTACCTTTTTCTTTCTTTTGGGATTTAAACATCCTGTATCCCAAAGAAATTGACTTATGTGAAAAGCTCAAACCTACAATTCATATGGGTTTTCTATTTAAATAAATCTATTCTAACTGGCAATATATATAAAATTCAGGTTCCTTTAGTTAAATGTCTATCAAATATTACAGGTATTTTTTGCAATGTCGAGAAAGGCTTGGTAGTGCTCCCTTCCATTCAGATTATTATCACTCACCATTTTTGGAAGCTGTGTACGAACCCCCATCCTGAGAGGACCAGCAACTTAACTGCACAAAAATATTGCCTCATGAATAGCTTATTTCAAAGCACTCTTATGTTTCATATCTTTGTAATTCAAGGGAGGCAGTCTTTTCAGCCTTTTAATTGTTAATATTGGAGAAAAAATGATAAGTTGTAAAGCACTTTCTGGATGTCATGAACACCTACCAGGCCAAATCCATACAAACTTGGATTTGGATCTCAGTTCTATCACTTTCAAGTTGTGGTCTGAGGCACAAATATCCAAACGCCCTTGACCGCCCTTTTAATAGTCAAAAGAACCTTGCAGGTTTGTCTGGAAGATTTAAAAAGGGATATAAATCATTGCTCAGTGGAGTACACAGATAAGAGCCACTTAAGAAATGGTAGCCCTTATTATCTTTCTTAATCCTCAGGATGACCCTAGGAGGTAGTAGTCATTATCTCACTTTACTGATTAGGAGACCTTAGCTCAAGGGCTCACACAGGTGGTGAAAGAACTGGTAGTCATTCTGAATTCAAAATCAGTTATCTTGGCATGACACCTTATTAGATGTGTCCCAGAGATTTAAGGAGCATCCTCCTTTAGACTATTCAAGTTTGTGATTATGCGTATTCAGATGGAAAAGATGAAACAATCTAGGGTGGGTTAGGTGCCTTTTGTACTGAGTCCATTAACTGAACAGTGGTCATCTTGCAACTACCTCCTACTACTGCATTTGTGTGTTGAAAGACTGGTCTTCATATCTTTTGTCTAAACACCTCCTAGGTATCCCTGACACCTAGCATGGTGTTTGGTATTCAGCAGGTGATGGAAAAATGTGTACTGAATAAATGAATGAGAATGACATAGGTACATAGGCCAGGGAACATGACTGCAACACAGTAGGCCGTCTGAAATCTTGCCTTCTCACCTCCTATTCAAGAGGTATCCACACTGGAAGGCAGACTCATCTTATTGGCCCCATTGTGCTCCCTTATTATCCATACTAGTGGTTTATAAAGGACCTGTAGGGAGGTTTGATACAAATGATTTGGAGGTTTTTTTTCCTAAATTCAGAAATCTGTATCATGGAGTTGTGGTTTCATTAAGTCTGAATTACAGGTAAGATACACATTACTGTATATGGACTTTTAGCAACACAGGAACTTTTAGAAAACGTTGGAGAATCTTTTGACTAGAAACTTTAGATTATGGAGCCTGGAAATCATGTGCAGATAAGAATTCAAAACCACTTTGCCTGAATTACCTTTCCCTGCCTTAGGAGTTTGTACACCTATATCGCCTTTGTCCACATTTACTAGTCTAAACCTGTGGTGATTTTTTTCTTTACTGCTTTGCATATGAGCCTTCCATCCAGAGTAGGCTGTTGGATACCAGTCTGAAATGAATGCCCAAACTCATGTTAAGGAAGCAACCAACACAAACTGCAGAAATTAAGCTTGACTCTTAAAGCTGTGTTGTGGGATGGGGATGTCGTATATACCATTCCTTGGCCAGAGTCCCACTCTATCCATAGGACAGAGCCTGTAGCCTCCTGAACTGCCTGACATTATGGTATCATTCATGTTTCCAATATATTTCTAGTTGGATAAATAATATAGTGTCTGGGGATTAAGAGAAACAGAGACAAAGAAAGGGTCTGAAAAAAACTGAATAAGGAATATATATTTTTTCTATTTTGTCACTTTTGCTCAAGAGGATACGTGGCTACAAATAATTATGCAGGTATTTAAACTTCATAATATACAAGATATGGATGTAGCATAGGACTGAATTGCTCAAACTTTTTCTCCCCAAGTGCGCTGATTGCTCAATAGGCCCCTTTCTGCTTTGTCCCCAACCCCCAGCTGGAAGTGCACTCTATTATCAACAAGACATTTCTTAGAAATTGTATGCTTTATATTTAGGAATTAATATAAATGTGATTTCTTTGTTTAGCTGTGTTCGTAGTGATATAAAATTAATATAAAATAATTTATCTTGGCTATGTCTTCCAAATATTTCTCTATATATTTTAACACGAAGTGGATAATAATGCCTATTACAGTTTCAGAAAGGGAGTTTGTAACTCCATTCCTAAGAATTCCTTGAGCTTTGTCCTCCACAGGAAATTTAAACTACCTGCCTGATATTTCTGATAAAACATCACATTAGGCATCACAATCTCTAAAAGTATTAAAATGCAGATCTTCCTAACTAGATGTCTCTTGATTTCTCTGGATCTGTTAATGGTACTCAGTAGAAATTCAGCCTGGCAGAGTCATCTTTTTTCGGCTCCCCTGTACTTTTATCCTATGTTCAGTTAAGGATCCGACTCCATAGATTGTGACTCCGCAGTGTCCCTTCTTATCCTACCATTTCCATGAGGTGGACCCTCATTACTTTTTCCCCAGACATGACACTTTCTAATTTGTATTTCCACTTCCACATTCACCCTACCACGATCTCTCCTTCCTATTACGGCAACGTTCATCTTTCTAAAGCCCGGATCAGAGCAAATCATTCCTCAGTAAAACAGGTAAACAGACATTTTAGTGAAAAATTAGGTAATTCCTCCCTTAGGGTTCAAGCTCTTCACTATACAGCTTCTCCTTCCTCTGTTCTCTTCTTCCATAGACCCCATGTCTCAGTGAAGTCTGACTTGTTGTTGAGCATGTCGCACCTTAGCCAATCATCATGCTTTTTCCTCCTCCTAGAATTTTACCCGCCATTCACCTCCTTGAGTTATATATGCATATGATGTGGATATCAGTGAAGTCCAACTGTAACCACAGAACCAGCTGAGATACTGAGTTGCTTTCCAAAGTCAACACACCCAAACCCCAAGTCAGGCTGCCAAAGCATCAGCAGAGAGAACTTTGACCTCTAGCTGAACCTGGAACCAAACCCTTACCCCCCCCCCCCTCCCTCCCGAACCAAAGGGCTAGAACATAACCAGAACTTGAACACCAGAACCCACTTAAAAGCCAAGAGTCCCTTGTCCAGAAAGATCCAGTATTGACACCCCTTTACCATAAAGGGCCTAGGTCTTACAATTAAATCTCCCCCCACAAGTATTTCCACATGCCTGTTCCTCCTAGCTACTTAAAAACCCTTAACCTGATGCAGCAAGCAAGATGGATTTGAGGCACCATTAGATCTCAATCAATAAACCTTTCCTTACTTCAAACTCGGACATTGAGTTTTAGCCTTTCGAAGCCTCTAGCACTTGGACTTTGGTTTCAGCAACACAATGTGGCTATCTTATGGTATTACTTCCATAAGTGCCCATTTTCTATACTGCTCTCTGCCTCAGCTTAGATACAGGGTTTGGTAACTTTTTATTAAAGCAAACAATTTTAAAATTTTTATTTTTCATCGTGCATTCAATAAAGTTATTGAGTGCTTACTCTATACCAGATCTCTGTTTGGAGCTGGGAAGACAAACCCAACAAGGGATCTGGGCATAGGGATATCACTATATATTCTCTCTACTTTCCAGGAAGCAAAATCAGTGTTTCACCACTTTATAACTAGTCAACACTTCTCTGTATTTATTCCAGGAATGCAATGCTTTCTTAGAGATGGCTACATGCAGGGGATTGTTCCCAGGTATAATACTAGCCACAGAGTTATACGCATATTTGAGTTGAGAGAATATGATTATCATGTATAGACTCAGAAATGTATGAGACCTGAAGGGAATATGCAGTAAGAAGGCAAAGTTTGTCAGAGGCAAAATGCCTAAATTGGCTTGTGGGGTGGGTGAGGGGATATCATGAAGCTTGACATAAACAAATTTAATTTATGCAGCCTGAATTAAAGGGGAAGGGGACAACTTGGACTCCTCCTCAAGAACCATCTGCAAAGTACAGATAGCTTATATTAAAATCCATCAGCATTTTAATCTGGCAATAATTTTCTGAATGCAATTTATAAGGTATTTGCCACAGAACTATAGTTGCACATTGACTAAGCAGAATAGTACTAAATGGTTTGTAAAGAAAAGGCAATATCTCAAAATTGTTTTTCCCAAAATTTTGATGCCTACAGTAATCATGCAATCACTAGCAATTAAAGAGCTAAAGAAAATAACCAGGGTTGTTATGTTGCAACATTTCTCCATTATCGGCAAATGTTTTCAAAATACCATGGTTATATGTTGGAATACTAAGCCCAGGAAGAAATATTAGCTTAAGGAATCTACCAGTTGCCATAGAAAACGGGTAAAAAAAGTTTTCTAATGCTCCAGATGACACAATATGATTAGATTTCTTTTCAGTCTTTGGGATTACATAACTTTGGCTGGTAGCACTGAGGCTTAATTTTTGATCTAGGATTTTACTAATATATTATGTCACTGATAATCTGGTAGGTTACTACACAAGAAAGGAGGTGGGAATTAACCCAACAACTTAATGCTTTCAGGACAAATACACAGTATGATCCTCTATTTTTGGCTACCTGTAGAAAAAAAAACAAAAAACAAAAACGACAACATATCTGTCCCTTACAAAGCACTAGAAAACCTAACAATGAAGATTGCTGAATATATTCTTTGAATTTACATCCTTCATATCTATGCCCTAAAAACTTAGGATATAATAAAATATCCCATGCCAGGTTGCTACAATTGAGCTGCATCGGTACTAACTGCCACTAATCATGGAGGCCAGATTCTTTATCATACTTGGTAATCTGTACAAATATTATTGAACTACTACTGAAAAAGACCAGTTTTTCTTATCCTCTATTCAGGGTAAAACCAGACTTTGTTCACCATTGCAATAAATAAAAATTAAGTCTCACTTTTGATACCTGATGTACATTACTGAGCTACAACATTCATTTATGTAAGTGAAATGATTGAATCATGAGTTTCCATGTCCTGAGAGGCTTCCATAATTTTAGGAATATGAGCTAAGGGTGTTGAGTTCTATGTAAGCATCAAAACAGTACAAATATGCTGGAAAAATTTACATGCATTATATCCAATTATGTCAGCAGGCTATGAATCATATCCAATTATCAAGATGCATAAGTGCACTTTGTGTGATACTCAAACATCATTAATTTTGTGCTTAGCATAAGCTGCTCAAATGATATGATTTCAGTAATTTCTTGCATCGATATTACAGCATCAATATAAATTCAATGTGAATTGGAAAATGAACATCTTCATCTTGTTTATATCTGTGAAAAGGCATTTACTAAATACAGGAGCACGTTGAACCAACACTTGTGATTGGAAAAAAGTCTGGAATGTTCCACAGAGAATCTAAATAATAGGAATCAAGACATGAGGCAAGTAAGGCCCAGAGAAAGTCTAGCTAAGCATCCTCACAGGCTTTCTATAGGTAGTCACTGAACTAAAATCAAGAAACCAACATTTCAGCCTCCCAACAAACTGAATTGACCAAGTTCAACCCCCACCATAAATTTCCCACTTATCTTAACATTTATAAAATGGTTTTCTTACTTGTCTGGGAAATCTCACTTTAGCATATATTTAAAACAATGAGAATTTTTTTTTCCTACAACTACTTATACAGTGTAAATTTTAATTAAAAATGTTTGACTTCTCATTTAAGTAAAAAAAAAAAAAAGCCCTACATAGCTGCAGAGTAGTACATTTAAGTACTTAACATTAATTTTGAGTTCAAGTAATTAAAATTAGTAATCTTAGAAACTTACCTCAAAGTCAAGGTCTGAATATCGTGATTTTCTTCTCTGTTAGATATTGTTTTTTAAAAAAAGAAAAACCAAAAAAAGTTTAGTTATTAAAATGAAAATCATTATTTTCAAAATAATCCTGTTTCTTTGTGTTATAAGCATTTCCTTTACATAAGACTTAATGAACATTTGTATGATTTCAAGCTATTTCATCCACATTATTTTATTTTCACTTTGAACTTCCTTTAAAATTGAAGAATATAAAAATAGAGCATATTTATCATCTTGATCTCTTAATTCTAATTTCTCAGTGAGAAGAAATTTTCTATGAAAGTTTGTATCAAAATTTCAGTATTGAAAGAGACTTTAGGTGCTCTACAGCAAAATTACTTTATAGACACAAAGGATTAAAAGCAGTGTAGGAAAAATCATCCAGCTTTTTCAAGACCCTCCACAAACCAAACTCGAGATTTCATTTCTACCAAGTTCTACCTAAGTCCCAAAGTTCTCTGTGCCTCACCAACAAATTTCTTGGTTTTTGATACTCCTCCTTGCTTCTAATTGCTAGTTCTTCTTTAGGAACCAAAGTATTTATCCTAATTTAGTAAAACAACAACTAGTTCACACCCCAGCAAAATGTGGACATAAAAATCTCAACAGAGGTCCTCTATAGCTCTATTCTGTTAAAACAGTTCCTAAATCTAGTATAATGCTCATTAATAATTAGGCAGTAGGCCTGATAAAATCAGTAACATAATGAAAATGAAATTAATGTGATGATATTATATTAGTGTCAGGAAGGTATTCTTAAACATCTGCTCCAAGAAGTCACTGGAGTTTAGTAGGTATAGAAGGAGATGGCTGGTAAATGTAGAATGGGTCCTCCAAATTTTTAGAAAACAAAGCAAATTTCCAATATAGGGTTGCTTTAGGAAGGGAGGTATTTTTTGGAGGGGATGGGGACAAAAAAGAAAAAAATAATAAATATTCAAACCAAGTAATATTCAGGCAGTTGTAAAAAAATATTTAAGCTGTCAGACAAACTTCTTCCATCTTATTTCTTCCTCTTCTCCTCTCCCAACCTTAATTTCAGTGACCTAAACCGGGAATCATGTCTAAGACAAGTGGGAGATCTTGTAACTGTTGAACATTAGCAGAGACTGAAAGGCACTCATGTAAGCTTATTGAATAAAGATAGGACTAAACTTCTGCTACTACTAGAGTTAAAATGTTTACTATAGAACCAGAACCTATTTAACTCCCAAACGCATGTTTCAGTAGAGAGAAGGTAATATACCAAAAGAAACGTTTTGTTTAAAAGTTCTGAAATAATTTGATTTGGGTGGAGCTGGACTACAAATGCAGTCTACAATCAAGGAGAGTGCCCAGAAGGAGGCTGCTTTATTAATGGAAACTCGGCATGCTGATCTTTGTTCCCTATCTCCAGTAGTGCCTGAGCTTTGTCCTGGTGACATCCCGGAAAGAGAAAAGAGAGTGGGAAGGCTTTTAACCCAGCCCTCCGTGCCATCTTCCTGCCGCTATTGTTAGCTAACTGCTCTGTATAAAAACCAGGCTCCGAGGCACCGCTTGATGCGAGACTAAATGTCAGTGTTTCCATTAGGCTCTTGGAGGCTTCACCTTCCCTGGCACTGTGACTCAGCGGGACGTTTTTTTTTTTCTAAGTATATGCTAAGCCCAATTCTTTCCTAATACAGCAACATCCAAGCATGGAAACACTTCGTTTTGAGCAATTATTATAGCACATTAGTCATGAGCTTTGTGTTCCATTTGAAAATTAAATAGTGAAATTTTATGAAAAAAAGTTCAGCCAGCCTGCAGAGTAAGAGGCCCTCCCGCTGCACGCGTTGAGGAATCCTCTGTTGCCGAAGGTCATAGCAGCCATATGTTGCCTTGTTCATTTCTGAATGCAAAGCTGTGTTGCCTCAGAGCTGGGAATACTGACGGATCCATGTAGCTAAAGGCTCTGTATCTTAAGAACCAGGACAAAAAAATGGGAATCTAGAATGCCAGAGATAGATTCTAACTCTTAGAGCACATGTCACCTATGTCGTTGTGAAATATGGAAAAGAAAATGGATATACTGCTACAAACAGATTCCTCTCTCTTCTATTTAACTATATTAAAATTAAATTTTAACATGAAGGTATAGCAGAACTAGCAGTCTTGAAGGATTAGGCTAAGAAAGGAACAAAGGAAGCAAAGAGATTTCAATCAAAAGAGCCTAAAAATGGGAGTGAAGACAAACAAATTAGACAGTGGAAAAAAAATGTGGCAAATTTTCAGAGCTCAAGAGAGATAAAAATCTGTGTAATATTATTCATATCCCCACAATACTGACCATGTGTTCTAACCTTCTCTAATTGCTTTCACATTTGAACATGGAAACTGCTCTGTTGGATGGTAGGGAAAGTATTATTTATTATCCCTATTTAGAGAATGAGTAAAACAGAGGACCAGAGAAGTTAAAATAACTTGTTCACTTCACCTGGATAGTAAGCAAATGAGTTGAGATTCACAATCAGATCTTTTGACTCTAAGCGCTGCGTTTTCTCACTGTCTCTCACTAACTGCTCAGTGGGTAATATTTTGTAGCCAAGGTACCTACGCTATTTTGTTGATTGCTCCTAGAACTCACTAAGAATATCATTAGAGGGCTCAGTCACTCCAAGACTGACAGTAGTGGGCCAGAGATTATTTCTTAGCATAAAGCAAAGTAATCAGATTAAAATATAATGGACAAGTAAAAGTTAAAGGAGAAAAAAAATATATCAATATGATATTTGAGAGAAAATCTGATGATGATATATGTAATTTATGTTGAATAAAATAACATAAAAAACATTCTAAAACAGGATAGTTTATGAGCAATGATACAACAACAAAAAAGTAGCTGACTTCTCCACCTCCTACTGCAAAATCTAGTTTGAAAGAAAAGTTTACCTTAAAATAAAAAATCTAGCATTGGAAAATTGGTGATATAATGCAAGAACCAGAATATTCAATTCTGTTCAATTTCAGTCTGTTTTCACCCTTGGTATACATGCAGTATGTTGGATTGTCAACAAGAAGTTTGTGGAAAGCATGACTGATTTACATGTTATTCAAATGTCTCCCTGAGATCTCTGGAATGTTATTGCAAGTGGTTAGAAATAATAGTTATACATTTATGAGAATCAACTAAGAAAAGTGATCAAGTCGTAACAACTTTTCTGATAAGCTGATAATTGAAAAAATGCTACCTATAAATTTAAAATAAGCCAACGTGGTGGTAAACAATTCTATGAAGCTACCAGACATCAAAACATATTACAAGCCTACAGTAATCAAAACAGTATGGTACTGGCATAAAAACAGGCACATAGATCAATGGAACAGAATAGAGAGCCCAGAAATAAACCCATCCATATACGGTCACTTAATCTCTGACATTGGAAGCAAGAATTTACAGTGGGGTAAAGATAGTCTATTTAATAAATGGTGCTGGGAAAATTGGACTGACACATGCACAAAAATGAAACTGGACCACCTCCTTACGCCAGATACAAGAACAAATTCAAAATGGATTAAAGACTTAAATGTAAGATGTAAGACCTGAAACCATAAAACTCCTAGAAGAAAACATAGGCAATAAATTTACAGACATTACCCTGAGCAATATTTTTACTGATAGATCCCCGCGGGCAAGGGAAGTAAAGAAAAAATGAACATATGGAATTACATCAAACCTAAAAGTTCTTTCACAACAAAGGAAACCATCAATAAAAACAAAAAGGAAGCCTACTGAATGGGAGAAGATATTTGTCAACGAGATAACTGGTTAATATCCAAAATTTATAAAACATTCATGCAACTCAACACCAAAAAAAAAACAAACAACCCAATTAAAAAATGGGCAGAGGATATGAAGAGACATTTCTCTAAAGAGGACATACAGATGGCCAACAGGCATATGAAAAATGTTCAACCTCACTAATCATTAGAGAAATGCAAATAAAAACCACAATGAGATATCACCTGATCCCGGTCAAAATGGATATCATCAATACATCAACAAACAGCAAGTGCTGGTGAGGTTGTGGGGAAAAAGGAACCCTGGTGCACTGTTGTTGGGACTGCAGAATGAGCAGCCACTATGGAAATCAGTATGGAGGTATCTCAAAAAACTGGAAATGGAACTACCATATGATCCAGCAATTCCACTCTTAGGTATTTATCCAGAAAAATCCAAGACATTAATCCAAAAAAATATTTGCAACCCTATGTTCATTGCAGCGCTATTCACAATAGCCAAGACTTAGAAACAATCTAAATGTCCATCGGTAGACGACTGGATTAAGAAACTGTGGTACATTTACACAATGGAGTATTACTCAGCTATAAAGAAGAAGGAAATAGTACCATCTGCAACAATATGCATGGAACTAGAGAACATTATGCTAAGTGAAATAGGTCAGTCAGAGAAAGACAAATACCATTTGATCTCACTTATATGTGGAATCGAAACAACTGAATAAACGAGTAATGTAAACAGAAACAGTCTCAGAGACACAGAGGAAAAACTGATGATTGCTAGATGGGAAGGGGGTGTGGATGAGGGAGAAGGGGAAGGGACGAGACAACATAAACTGGTAACTTCAATATTGCCACAGGGATAGAAAAGACAGTTTGGGGAATATAATCAGTAATGTTGTAAATATTTTTTAGGGGCCGGATGGACTCATGTCTTGTTAGGGAGACCACTTCATGGACGGTGTAGAGGCCTGACCACAGCACTGTACATCTGAAACTGCCATTGAATAATATTATATGTCAACTATAATTTAATGCTTATATAGTCATGGGATGTGGAGTATAGTGTGGGAATGAAGTCAATGGAATTGTAATAGATAAGCATGATATCGGGGGTGGGAGGGCAGTGGATAGGGGGATAGAGGTTGTCACTTTGTGAGGGGTGAAAAGGATAACTATTGCATTGTTTTGTACACCTGAAACTAATAATAAAAAATTCTATGAAGATATAAATGCCTCTGTCTATATATCTGCAACTTACCAAAAAGTTTATTTGTATCAAGTTAATAAAAATTTCTTCAGCTCTTTTATACTCTTTGCTTTTCCTAAATTCCCCACTTAGAACACATCCCAACTTGTATTCTGTCCTCAACATTACTTTAAAATTCTCTTTGTCAGTGTCTCTGTTGAGCTCCATCTGGTCAGTTTCCAAGGTCAGCTTTCTGTCCTCCACTTACTAGACTCTCAGAAGCTTTGGGAAGTTAATCACTTCCTCATCAAAATACTCCATCATCTGTCAGCTTTTCCCTGTTCCCCCCTTTTATTTGGTGGAACTCCTTCTCAAGTCTCTTTTGCTGTCTCCCTGCCTTCTATTGGTTGAGTTCCTGAGTTCTCTTTTTTTCTCATATTCTCTCCTGGATAATATAATTCATTCCATGTTTTTTAATACCATCTTTTCAGTTCCAAACACCCTCCTTCCTCCTCATGTTTTACCATCCCTGAAAAAAGATATCTAGTTGGTCAAATCAGAAACTGAGGAATCACCCTTTATCCCTTCCTGTCCCTCATCTTGCACAACAAATCCATCAGCAAGTGTCAGCTGTCACCTCCACAATACATCTTGATCTAACTGCCCTCTCCACTTGCATCCCTATAGAGTCGAAAGCATTCTTATCTCTTGTATGGATTATTTCAGTAGCCTCCTAGCTGCCATCAGCATCTGTTCCACCCTCTCTCCCATTACCACTAGATCCTAACCCTTTGTCTTCCATTCCATTAAAGGGATGGATGGAGAAATGACCATGACAATCTTTTGCTTAACAGTCCTCATTTGCTTCTCTTGCTTTAGAAAGCCCTGCAAAATCTCTTTTTTTCCTATTCCAACTTGATCTTAAGGAGCTTGCCCCCTGCTACACAGGCCTTGTAATCCGATCAGAATATTCCAAGCTCTTTCCTACCCCAGAACCACTGCACTTGCAGTTTCTTTTGCCTGAAACATCCCCTCACTCTTTATACTTCAGAAGGCTCCCTAGACCATGTATCTAAAGAAGGCCCCCTCACATTCCACAGTTATTTCTCAGCATAGTACACTGTTCGAGATGATTCATTTGTTAAAGGTTAATGATCTTTCTCTTCCATAGGGTTTGTTTACCACAGGGGCAGGCTACACATCTGTTTTGATCACTTGGATGTCTCCAGCATCTAGCAGAAGGCCTGGTACAATAGTAGACATTCACAAAATTATTGACAATTGATTGAAGGAGATACACTATGGCAGCCAAACACATCTAAAAGAATGTGACTTGTTTGTTTCTTTTTACCTCAGGAATACTCTGGGACAATTTGGAGAAGCTACACCAAAACTGGATCAGTTGACAGCCAAGAGACTCAAGACAATTTAGAGGAATGCAGACTTCTCACTAACAGAAGAGGAAGATTCCTTAGGATGATTTAAGAGTAAGAAAATGCAAGATGGTATGAGGCTACTCAGAGGAATACTTAGTGAATATATGCAAAGAGGCATCACTCCATATCCAAGTCTTGTAGAAAGATGAATACTTTGTCAAAGGGGACACTTCATTGTGTCACTGCCAATTAAGCTGGACAAGACACTAGAAGATGCACAGTGAGAGATCAGTTCCACTGACGAATAAATGGCAGTATGACTGCCGTTAGAAGTTTGTTACAGAGTGAGCAATGAACCCACTCAAAGAGAGCTTTGATGCCAAGTCCATTCAAAATATCTGTGGAAATAAAACCTGAGAATATTTTGAGAAATAACTTTTATTTGAGCTCATTTTGTGTGCCTGCATAGAAGGCAAACATTTCCTAACCCAGGGGCAAAACCAAAGCACTAAAGAAGGCCAAAGCTTCCTTTCCCCACAGCTACAGGAGGAAAAAATAAATAAGAAAAAGATACCTCTGCACAATGGTCAGTTCTATGATGGTTTCCGTTAGTGACACAGTCCCCCACTTCTCAAGTGAGGCCATAACATTTTCTCTAATATTCTGAATATCGATTTAGAACAGCATTCAAACCTTCACAGACATTCAAGACATAATGGTAATGAAACAATAATAACAAAACCTTCCATCTGAAGCACTTCTTACAATTTTCAAAGGGTTTTCACATACATTATCTAATTTGATCCTCACAATAGTTGTAAGAGAGGCACCTGTAATGTGACATTATAGCTAAAATGTTTTACCTCTAAAATCCATTATGCTGCGATCTCTATAATTCATGTCCAGGAGAAAACTGAAGTACAAACATTTAGCCTAGAATGGTGGCCCTTTCCACTCACCTATAAATTGAGAGAGGATATCTAAGCATTTTTCATATACATTTATACCTAAATGGACACAAAACTGGAGTAGCAAAACTGTTTTTGATAAAATCATTTTGTAATCTATCTAACTCTGATTATTAAGAGTTTCTTTATTAATAGAAAAATCCATGCAAGATTTTTCAGGAGAATAACAAACCCTTTCAATATTTACATTTGAGCCAATTGTTTCACAAGAATTCAAGTGATGGAGGAACTGAGAAGCCATATAATGGACCATGAGGTAACCCAGAGATTAGCAGGAGGAGTGACTGTCCACCCCAGCCTGGGTGGACAAAAAGAGATGGCATAGTGACTTAAGCCCAGGGACCAAGGCACCTGGCAGAAGCTGGAAGCTTCTGGAATTGTAGCTAAAGAGACACAAGGTGCTGCCAAAAGCAGAAAGAGCAGGGGAGACATATCTCTTCCCCCAACCTCTAATCTCTCCAGTGTTTCCTATTGGCAGTCTCCTCAAGGGGCAGAAACCAAAGACACAGAAACCAGTATCAACCCTGAGTGATAGGGGAGGAAAGGATGAAGAAAAGGTCATGTACCAAACAGGCCTGGGATGTGTACACAAGTTAGGAACATGTTTGAGTGAGGAAATGTTTGCTATCAGGTCTAAGGGCTACAAGTTGTTGAATACCAGTGTTTGCTATCAGGTCTAAGGGCTACAAGTTGTTGAATACCAGTGTTCCAATGATTCAAAAATACTGACCTATCTTCTTACGATATTATACATACATACATACATACATATATATATATATATATACATATATATATATATATATATATATATATATATATACATATACATATATATATATGATAAAAATAAGTAGAACCGCAATCCAAGATTTAAACTATATTTCATAATCCTCAATGGCTTGAGACTTATGATACCTCTCTTCCCCCACTTGCTTCATAGCAACTAGTGGTATTTTTTACATTATACACATACCACACACTTAAAATATTTTGCTAATTAATTGAAGGTGAATGACTTAAATGCTGATGACAATTTCATTCTCCTTAACCTTAAAGCAAAACAATTAGAAGACCTCTAGAGCTGGAGCTACTGTGAGAAATTCTACCATATTAATATTTAAATTATTCCATAATGGTGGAAAACTAAATCTAAATTTTCAGAATTGCTTAACCTGTCCATTCTGCGACTGGATACAGTTTGGAAGCTGGCAGATAACACTTTAGAAGAAAGAAAGAAACAAGATACTATTAGGCAGGGAGGAAATCTCTTTCATGCCAACAACTTCATGCATAAATTTCCCACACTCAATAATTGGGGATAAGTTGAACACACTCCCCTGGAGATTGACACCTTTTCTGCTGGCACTGCCTTCTGGGTTGGGGAGCCTCCCTCTTCCTTTGTTGCCACCTGCTTATTTGAATAAATAACTTCCACCCACTCACCCACTCTTTGGCTTTCTGTTTTTCTCCCTCAACTCTTGTTTTCCCTCTTCGCTTTTCCTCATTAATATTGCATTCTATGCTACACTTGAGGGCTTTTACCCTCTTTCTTTCTCCCTGCCACCACTTCCCACCTTGGTAATTTGTAAACACCAACTCCTCTTCAGGAAACGTCCTGAATTAATAAGAACATCTTATTATTTCCTTGAGGAAATCCTAGCTCCTGGCCATCCTCTGCTGCCCCAGCTTCCCAAGCAGGACATCCCTGTGGCTGAAATCTCCCTCCTCACTCAGAGGGGAAGAAGACTCAAATTCCTATGGCTTAGACCTCATGTCATGCACATATTCACCCACTTTCATCTTCACATCATCTTCTAAGACTCAAGTCACCTCCTGGATACTGTTGATCCCCACTCTCCATGCAGATACTCCAGCCATCTTTCTGCTTGTTTTTGGTCAGAATATCATCTTCCCCATTGGTTGGCCCTGCAGATACAGTCTAGCAGAGTTGACATCTCTATTTGGCAATGCATCACTCTGCTCATTAAGAAAGCCATAACACTGGCTTTATTAGCAGGAGCCACAGTCCTATCTCCAAATATTGCTAGTTATATACACCTACACTTTATCCATCTCACATCTTTATTCACTCTAAGGCCAAGTGTCAGGGGTTAAAGTGAACTTTCAAGTTACTCTCATGCTAATGTTCAGGCACGTTACAGTCTCTTTAGATAGCATAAAATTGACCAGGACAGAAAGAGTCTATTTCTAGACTTGCTATGTACTTGCTCTGTAACCTTGAACAAATGACTTGACTTCAAGGATTATAACAACTTATCCATTGCACATAAATGTTGTGAAGATTAATTAATTCATGTTTTTAAGGTGATTTGAAGCTCTGCTAATGAAAGATGCTATATAAATGCTAATTTTTATTATTCAGTCCCATATCTATATATTCTCTTTCAGCTGTATTCTAAAATGGCCACCATAAGCCATTACTATTATTAAACTCTTTTAAAAAATTAAAATGAGAAACTGAATTTTCATTCTGAATCCTGAATTTTCTTCCATTTCAAGATGTAAGCCCTGCAATCTCTAAGTTATTTAAATGCAGATCTTTTGGCTGAATCACAGCTGTATATGATGCTTCTGCTTAATAATGAGGATATAGAGATTTAGAAAAAATTACAAACAGCACCTGGAAATACAGTCTATTGTCCAAGCACACATGACTTGTACAATATCAAACCCAGAAAGATTTTTAGGCTTTTAGATGTGAAGCATTTTTATAACAAGCAAAATTTTTAATGTAATCCTATTCTATCCTATTCTAACTCTAGCATATTTTAAAGAGCCATTCTATATGGAAGACTCCATACGGTCATTATGATTTTTCCAGTACTGCATCCAAATTATTACTTTGATGTTATTATATACATACTCACTGAACCCCTTTTAAAAACTTTTGTGATTTTCTATAAACATTATGTAGTTTATCCTTATGTGGTTGTTATTACAGTAGAACTGTCAGTCTCTGGGAAATTGCAAGTTAGAAATAGAGAAAGAGTAGCTTTTGGCTAATTCAAAATCATGGAATGCTTTTGTTTAGAGGGTGCTTTAGCCAGCCACTCTGGAGTGAACGTGGTTCTTACTGCTGCCATGGCTTTGGCTATGAGGGATGATTCTTCTCAGAAACCCTATTGCATTTGAGATTGATCTAGAATTTGGGGACTTATTCTAGATCTCATCTACATCACGGTTTTAGTCTAGAATTTCCTTGAACCAGTTTGGAAAAGCCTCAGAGTTACACCACTCACCAAGTAACCTAACCTTTCAGGATCCCTCTTTATTTTGACCATGCAGAAGGCATGACTTTGTGGGGAGAAGGGAGAGAGAATTGACTCTGGGCACTTCGGAGCACCAGAACATATGATTATCAGCATACTTTTGATGGAAAGGGTAGGTGACCAATTATAGTGTCTTCTTCCAAAAAGTATCTTATGAAATAATGTCATTAAAACAATTGGTAATAGTATAAAAGAATGCAGGTATTACATTGCATACAGAATGCAATGTATCAGCACTGAGTTTACAGCAAAATTTCTAGGTAAAGGATATAAAAGTCACGTATAAAAAACAGTAACAGGATGTATGTCAAAGTAAGACATTTCTTAGATCTTCCTTGATGAATTACAATACAATATGAACAATATTGATAGCTGTTGACTATTCTCCACTTCACTTTATAGGTAGAAAAGTGAGGAGTTTGCTTTTTTATAAAAGCCATGTGGTTGGACCTCAGAGTCTGACTCTTACCGTTCTCAATTTATATACCTCCTGAGAGCTCACAATTTAAAACCAAAAATTTTAGTGATCATCATTCTGTAAGAGCTAAGAGCAAAATAATTACCCCGAAAGATATCTATCTAATATATAGGGTTTATAATCAGTGTAATGGTAGATCTCATAGTAGCATTCTGATTTTCTTATTGCTAGCAGCTGCCCTCCCACAGAAAATCCAGGTCTTGGTTTAAGTTCATAGCACCATTCAGAAACTACTTTCACAACCAAAGGAGTTTTGGTATTTGAGAAAACATCAGAAGAATCTTTGTTTTGTTTTTCTTCTTTATGAATGTTCTACTTGGTTAATGAAGACTTATGACAGATAGGTATCTTTTCTAAATATGGAGAGTTCCTCTTTTTAAACACAATCTTGATAATGGGGATTCTGATGCATGACTGGAAAAAACGTACATTCTGAATATCAATCCCAACATACCCAAAATTCTTACCGATCCATGACTGCAAAGGCTAATGTGACCCTTCTCCATCAATCCAAAGCCACATGCATCAGTCTCTGTCATTCTCTCTCTCTATATATTTCAAATAGCAAGAAAAAGTTCATTGCTTACCTCTAAAGAACTCATTGATATGGTTGATCCAGTTTCGCTTCTTGATAGTCCTGCGTTATCATCCAACTCAGAGGCCATGAAATTCTTCACGGCTGTGCGAGGCTCAAAGGGTAAATTCTGCATATGTTCCTGGGGTGCGAGATGTTGTTCTAAGTTCATATTGAACTGGTCCATTACGGGGGGATTCATGTTGAACTCAGGATTCACTTTGTAGTGCAATAGCCTTTCATGGGGCAGGGTTTCCATGCCGATATTCATTTTGCTTTCTTCTTTCATTGATGGCTGGGTATTTACAGAACTTCTGGGCATCACAATATAGTCACTTTCCATCATTCTTTCTTGAGGATGGACTATGTCCATATCAGCCCCTCTCAAATTATCATCTGTGCATAAGTACACAGTTCTCCGCAATTCACTGTTCTCTTTTTTCAAACACTGATTGCCCAGCTCATTCATACTCATGGGCATGTGCAGACCGGTGGGTTGCTGGATAATGACTTTAGAAATGACATTTCCAGGTAATGTTGAATAGCTTAGCCCTTCAGGGTTTGTTCCCTTTTCTTCTTCATCATCATCATTTAAAGAAATCCTAGAGAGTGTTCCCGTTATTGTTGCTGCTCGGCAAGGACCAATATCCTTATGAAGAACTGTGAATTCAAATATGAGAGTTCATAAAAGAAAGCTAGTGCATGTGTACTCTTTATTCTAGTATTCTGTTCTCTCTACTAAACAATATCCTTAATAAAAATGTTTAGAAATTATTTATTTATTGTTTGTATATAGTATAGTTTACTCAATCATCCTTTATTGATTCTGATTATGTTCAAAACATCTGAAAGTTGATTAATGGATTTTCAAAAATCTCAGTGCCCTTTCCTTAAGCAACTCTGCATGTTTTCAGGGGAAAGGCAGATTACCAGAGAAGTATCCTCCATCAATCTACCACATAGGGTTTTATAAAATTATGGATATATTTCACATGAATTTATCTTTTTTGTAAAGGCTTCTTTCCCCTAGAGTATTTGTAACAAGTTCTATTAAGATATTTTTTTTGAAAAAGGTAATCAATAAGAATTTCATCCTACTGCATTAGAAAGCCTTCCAAAAATTATGCATGCTGAAAATTAATAAGCATTTATCTATGAGGAGGTATTAAAATTGCCAGCTGAGTTTAAGCAGAAACAAAACTGAGCTTCTAAACCCACCATTCCATTTTAAACCTGAGAAATAATGACTTAGAAAAAAATTAAAAATGCATGACAACTTGTAGTAAGAGGGGGAACAAAATGAAAACATAAACCAAAGCAATTGAAAACAAACCAACCAATGAAAGAGCCCAGGATTCTTTATTAAAATATAGTTTCATGTTTTCTTTCTTTTTTTTTTGCCTCTATATTAAAAGGAAGCCATATTTTATGCATAAAAGAGGCAGACTGAATCAAAGCATGCTTAGTTGTGAACAACTGTCAGTTTTGAGGTATGAACAAATGAAATTCTGAAGAACTATTCTTGGTAATTTTGGTACCGAAAGCACACAGAAAAACACGGTGTGCAAGTCAGCTCAACACGTCCACACAGCTGCCCATCTACAAAGCAGAGCGATCGCCATTGAAAATTTCATTAGGCAGAGACAACTGTAAAATATTCGGTTTATTGTCTCTTCATGAAAGGTTTCATATATATTGACTTTTACTTATTATTATCCAGTTTTCAAATAGCATCATAATCATTGTACATTAAAGCAGAGGCTGAAAAATAGGAATCTATGAATGTTTCCTTATTACAAAGACAAGCCTTCCAAATTATTTCAAAATATGCATCATTCATGTAGTATCTTTTCTTTTTAAAGATACTGTGTTTCATTATTTTATTAGGTCTCTTTATTTTAGACACTAAAAACATCACTTCACCTCTACATGTCTTTTATTAATCCACAATTTGGTTGTGACTTTTTGTATTAGAATAATTTAGCTTAAAAGCATAATTTCCAAACCTCTTAAAATAATAAATTGGTAATAAATTGTGGTTGCCAAGAACAATGTACATGACAATATTAAGGAGCAAAGAGTGTTAAATTAATAGATTTAATGATATTTGAAATAAAATACTTCAAAAACATCTCCAACTCCAGGAAAGAATACTTTTAATCTTGAACTGTATGCAAAAATTAATCCAAAATTCACAGCCGTAGAATTTAAAGGCTGGTTATGGAAACCTATCATACTGCATTAAAGGATCTATATCTATCTATCTATCTATCTGTATCTATATCTATATATATACAATTTTATACTTTTTTTTAAAGATTTTTATTGGAGAATTGGAGGATGGGAACAGCGCTGGGGAATTGAGGGAAGGGGAACAGACAAGTTGCTGTCTTTGTTTTTCCATCTAGTTGTGGAGGACATTGCTTCACTGGCCCAAGTTGGCACCATCATTGCGTTCTTCCTGGGTGAGGCAGATCAGTTGCCGGCTTCTGGACGGCCGCTCACTGAGGCTGCTGGCTGCTCATGCTGGCTGCTGGCTACATATGGTAGCCCATGGCAACCCACTGCAGCAAGGGCTGCAGCCTACACCATCGCAGGTGACTCAGGGCAGCCCAGCTCCAGGTTGAGCTGTTGTTCAGCATCTTAGCTGTAGAGGGCAGCGTCACTGGCCCTCATATGTGAGATCTGAACCGGGGCCCTCTGGCATCCCAAGCTAATTCTTAACCAACGCACCACTCGGCCGGCCCAATTTTATACTTTTATGAATATTATAAACTATAAAGGCATTCATAATAATTGGTTTTATAATATGCATTTGTACAAGATTTGTTTGATTTTGTATAAATGCAATAATATTTAGAGTTATAGTGAGCACATTTTTATCAAATTATATTGCCATCTTTATTAAAAATTTGTGTGTCTTAAATACTTGGGGAAAGATAATTCTTCTCATTAAGTAGTACTTACTCTATATGAAATATATGTCAGCTTCTTAGACTTGCTTAAAATGGATATCTAAAATTTGAATATACAACATAAGATCCACACCACCTACACATACAAACATGATGTTGAAGGCATGGGACTTTTGAGAGAAATTAATAAAGTTGTAAAAGGCAAAATGCAAACAAAAACAAAAACAAAATAAAATGCACCTGAATATTGTGTATAATCAGATATATACTCCACCCTTTGGGAAAGTGAATTTCAAAAAAACATAGAGAAGAAGTATTCAGAGTCCATGAATTGAGGCTTTAAAATTGAATATAACTCAACATGGACAGAAATCTCCAGAAAAACTCAGAGGCAAGCTCCTGATGAGCTCTGCTAAAAAAGGGCACAGACAGAAAATAAAAACATTCAAAACAATGTTTTCTAATAAAATAATGTACTGGCCTACATTAGAAATATCAGAATGCAACGCCTTCTGGAAAAAAAGAGGTAATTTAACAAAAGAGAAGAAACAGGATGAACACTTAAGAAATGAGACCACAGATAGGTTAGTTTAGTGGTTCTCCAATGTATCAGAATTACCTGGATGGCAGGTAAAAACACTGATTACCATACCCTACCCACAGTAGGTCTGCGGTAGGGCCTAAAAGTTTGCATTTCTAACACGTTTCCTGGTGACGCTAACACTGCTGGTCTAGGGACCCGACTTTGACAACCACTGGTTTAATGTTAATTAGCTGGTAAAGAAAAGACAAAACTGCTTCTATTTTGCTTCTCTATTAAAGAGAACTGTGAAGAGTACACCAAAAGAGGTGGAAAGGAAACTAAATTGAAGATAAATAGGAATTAAATAAACACCTAATTATTTTAAATAAATTCAGACTTCCAGACCCAGAAAATTACATCCCATCTTGGAATACAGATTTGGATCCTGGCACCTTGGCTAGTGATCTTTGAGAAATTATGGAAAATAGATGAAACCAGGGAAAATGTTTTGTCAATTTTCCAAAGAGGGAAATAATAAACTTTGGAAACAAAACTCTGTGTCTTAGCAATATTTTGGTAGGTATTAAACGGACAGGGTGATTCCTGGTACTGGCACAAGTCCACTATGTGTTACCAAATCATGCCAGTTATTCTACTGTTCTACTGTAACCACACTCCACAGAAAGTATTCTGATTGAATTCAGGAACGAGAACATGAGATCAATGTCTCAGATTCTTATTATAACAACTCTGTGATCTTAGACTCTGCCTAGATGTTTAATGGTTTTCAGTTGAATCTGAAAACTACACATGAGGTGAGTAGGGGTGCCTTACAGAACACGACAGGGTTCCAAACTTCATCTCATCCCATTCAACTCCTTTGACAGCTTGGATGATGGTTTAGAAGGTGTTCTAATCAAACTTTCAATTCCACACACTTTCAAATGAATAGAATAATGATCCAAAACTAGTAAGATAATAGCAAATAGAGATATAAAAGCAAAGGCCAGATTTTTCTTCAAGGGGGAGAAAAACAAAATAAAAACCACAGAATCTTTACATAATCTTAGTCTTGGAAAGCCCTGACAGCTACTACAAAAAGTCTTAGGGATTTTTAGGTGACAACTGGCTGACACTAGCATTTACCTGCTGCTATGAAATCAGATGCAAATGTAGACAGCATCAGCGTAAGTAAAGAGCCAGCTGTTTAGTAAAGAGAATGCTGGATACATATGCGTGCATTTGGGCACCATATTTTAAAATTATTAACAAATTGGAGGCTACTTGGACACTATGCCTGCCTGGGAAGATGCTGGGAATAATGAGGAAACATGGTTTGCTTAGTCTGGAGAAGAAAAAAAAAAAAAGACTTAGATTGGGTTAAATGATACTTGCTCTAAAATATTTGGCTATTTTGATGAAGTGGCTATCCACTCTTCTTCTAGAAGGCAACACTAAAGCCAGTGAAGAAAAGTTAAATAAGGTATATTTTGTCTCAATGTAAAGGAACATTTCAACAACTGGAATCACCCAAAAAATGAAATGTGGTTTCCTTTAAAACTCTTGAGTTATCTACTTTGGGTGAGTTTAGGCACAGGCGGGAGGGCAACCATCAGAAAAACTCAATGGGACCCTAGTACTGTAAAGGAGGGTGTGCTGCATGGTTTCTTCTGGTCCCCTCTAAAAATATAACAGCAGCAGCTATGATACATAAATACACACACACACACACACACACACACACACACACACACACACGGTTATTTCATCCTTACAACAACCCATATTTCATAGATGATGAAACTGAGACACAGAGAGACCAGATTGATAGGATTACACCTGACAATGGAATTACAGTGAAACCTTGCATTGTGAGTAACTTGGTTTGCAAGTGTTCCGCAAGACGAGCAAACATTTCTAATACATTTTAACTTGGTAAACGACTGATGTCTTGCAATATGAGTAGTTTGTTTCCGGAACGAATTATGCTCGCAAACCAAGGTGTTACTATACATCTAATTATACAATGGGATTACACCTAATCAATGGAATGGAAGGCTTATGTCTTCAATTCAATGCTTTTCTGCTGTTGGAGCTCCCAACTAACCATTTTTAGTTTCTCTCTCATTCCCTCCTCTCTCCCATTCTGCTATTACAGTGCTTCCATTTGAAAGATTTTATTTATAAATAGAACTCATTATATTCTATTCTATTCACCACATGAATATGTGATGTGTAAACTGCAACATTTTCTTTAAAATCAAAATCCACAAAAATGATTTAACATTTCTATTATAGTTTCAAAATCCAAATATTCTTACCTGACCGGCAAGCAATGTCTACATCCTTTTCAAAGTCTGTCTGTAACAAAAAAATAATAAGACATAGAATCATCATTTAATAAAGACCTCAAGTGAGTTTTACTAAACAGATTATCTGAAGTTTACAGATATCTGACTAGGCAGTACCGAGTTATTGTTTTGTGGAAAGGAATTCTCAAGGAATAATCAAATTGTTTTTGAGAATATTTCCTAGAGACCAAATGTTGAATAAAATCAATGGAAACATGACATGCAATTTTAATAAGGCAATATAATATCCATTGTAACCTCAAGGACAGAATTTTAAGGCAATTCTTTAAAGCACAATAAAAGATTAAAATGTGCATTATGATTGTACTTAAATGTCTCTGTTATTTGTATTTTTAAAGCACTCAGTTTGTATGTATATATTGCTTGTAATATAGCATCTTATAATACAGCTTTGTCAAGCCCTTCATAGTCACACCAGGTTTTTCTAATGATCATTTTCACTCAAATGTGACAAAAGGCTTTCAGGTTTAGGAATTAAAATCGAAGATGAACCAACACCAGTCTGGTCTAGAACCTGCTAGAGTGTAGTTCCATCCTCATATTTTCCCCATACTTTTATTTTCAATAGTTTATTTTTGTAATGGTAAAATTAAATTAGTTCATCTTAATCAATATTTTAAATTCAAAATATCAGTATGTAGCTACTTGTTTTTGAGAAGGAATTAAAATGATTCCTTCTCAAGTCTTAGTTACTAGTATATTATTTAGACTATTTGTTTGTTGCCTGATCCAAAAACATTATTAATAAATCAAATACAAGAACTATATGATTTCACTCATATGTAGGATATAAAACAACAGATAAACAAACAAAACACAGACTCGTAGATAAGACAACAATAGAATGGTAACCAGAGTAGAAGGGGGCAGGGGAAGGATGAAGAGGGTAAAGGGGGTCAAATATATGGTAACGGAAGTACACTAGACTTAGAGGCTGAGCACACAATGGAGTATACAGATGATGTATTATCAAGTCGGACACTTGAAACTTGTATAATGTTATTAATCAATGTTACCCAAATGAATTTAATTAAAAACATATATATAGTAAGAAAAAAACCTAGTTAAGCCTTGATTTTAATGACATAGTTTAAATCTTATCTCATTTCTAAAATATATCAAAGTGGTTATATCTCAAGTAACCTTTAATTGCAATAGTAGTCAGAGCTCATGTGCGATAGCTGACTTTTACAGGAAACATGGCTACTCTTTATAGGTTAGGGCAGTAGCTCTCATCTTAAGCTGCATACTGGAACCATCAGTGCCTGGGTTCCAGCCTAGAGGTTCCAGCCTCATTGATCTGGAGTATAGATTCTGATTGTCATGTGTAACCAAGACTGCGAACCGCTGCTTTAAGACTAGAAGCGCAGGTCCGTAGTGTTCTGATCTGTAAATAAACATGATCCTATGGATGCCTAGTTATCCCTGATTCTGTGCAAGTGTGAAAATACTTTCTGCTGTTGCACAGAAACCCCACACTCAACACACCAATAATAGATTCTGGATTCCTAAGCAATCCAGACAAAATAGTTCCTGGTGTCAGAGTTCTAAGTCTGTTAATAAACTAAAGCCAAAGGTTACTCAGAATAATACTTTGATACTATTTTACTAAAAAGAATATTTGTTTATTCCCTTGAGAAATCATGACTCAGTCAACAACCAGAGGGAAAATAAAAGCTCACCATGATTTGCGCATGCCCATTAGGAAAAGAACTTGAAGAATCAGCATTGATTGGATCCTGACAGTTTCTCAATCGGCATCTAAATGCATCCTGAACCTGTGAAAAATATGACAAACGTTAATTTTCTTCTCTCTTGGAAATGACCAGATAATGCCTACATTGGCAATCAACAGAGAAAGTGGTTATCATTGTTTTCATGATCTAATACCTATTTGGTTTATTTCCTAATACAAATACTGGTTACCTCCACTGTGTTCTACGCCAAGGAAATTCATCACTTGCCATAATCTATAGAGGGAAGTGCTGGGAACTCCTCAGCTATCAAAATGGCTATGTCTGACTCAACAGCAATAATTCTTGCCAGAGGGCAGATTTATTTCCATTGTTACAAACACTATGTGTGTCATTCAAGGAGGATTTATTATTTGGTATGGCATAATCTTTATAACAGCTTTAAACATAGTGAAAAATGAGATTACTCAATGATCTTGTGACTGACATTGATTTGGGATTTTCCTTTTATGCCTCACGTAAGGGATCCTATTGGAGAGACTATTTCTTGTCTATCTTCAAGTACTATGTGCTCTGATGTAAACACAAAACACAATAAAACAAAAAGATAACAAAAATAGCTGTTTATAGTTGATTGTCTTGGGCTGGGGTGCGGAGGGGAGGTCACTTAGCAAAGCCAAACTTCCATAATATCCATTCACAATTGGATTCCAAGTAAAGAACAAGCATTATCACAAGGCAATTTGAAGAACATTAAATCTCTTATTAAACAAGTGAATCAACATGAATAGATGAATAACAAACACATGATCCATAGTTATTCTGATCACAAGATGCCTCTGCATCAGTGTGTCCTTTCTACTTCCTGTGGCTCATTAGGCTCCTAACAAGCTGTTGATAGACATTATCACAAGTAGCTTCTTATCCCAGTCAATGGCAAGGTCATTTTACTAATATTTTGTTTTTCTGACTTTACATTATTGACATTCTCCTTATAGTTCATTATAACCTATTTTATTGGATTAAAAAACAAAGCACAGATGAAGTGGCTTTTCCCCTATTTTGCTGAAGCGCCACTGTAGACATGACCATGGTAAACACATCATGATATAAAATATCCTGACATTATTTTGTTGTAAGACATGCATAGTATATGTGTTGGCCAGAAAAACACGGAACCTATTAAGTAATTGTCTCCTCCTCTCACCCATATCATAAGTCATTAGCAGTCTCTTTTCCAAATTGCAAGATTCGGAAAGTGACATAGAGTTTAGTCACCACCACAGTCTTGGCTAACCAGTTCAATGATGAGACCTTGGTCCATTTATATTTCTCCTCCTCAGATTCTAGTCCTGGTGATGCAATCACTACAGGTGCGAATTAAGGGAGTAAGGGATGGACTCAGTGCTCTCTGATCTCCCCATTCTCTGATTCTAATAGTATTTCTAAATCTGGGATCTCCTGAGGGGTGATGTTGGGGGGGGGGTGGAGAGAAGAATGAGGAGTTGCCTGATATAGGTGAGCAAGGTAATTTTCTTATTTTTTCTTTCAAACACATAAGTAAAAGTACAGGTTCAGTGAAATCTAATCTGATCATCTTTTCTTGAAGAACTGGATATTTAGAACTAATTCCTCCAGCTTCCCCCTTGAAGGAGACATGACATAGACAAAGTTAGTTTCTTTAGGTGTGAAGGCTTTAAGGCTTCTCCTTCTTAGCTAAAATGACATATTAATAATAAAAAAATTGGTAAAGAGTGAGGTGTTTGCCAGATGACCACTGTATTTGTTATGCAGAAATGTGCATTGGAGAAAACCACTATGAAAGTATATATGTTTTTAGAAAACAAATCCTAAGAACCAATGTCAAAAACATAGGTACATGCTAACTTTTTGTTTGTGCCCTAAGACAACTGTTAAAGAAGAATAATTTATAAAGGAAGACAAATATGTTAAAAATGTTGCCTTCCAAGAGCTTGTCACATGAAGATGTTTATGAAATCTATTTCTAATTACTAAAGATGGCACTTGATGATAAAGCAAAGATTAACTGGTCCTTGCTAACCACCCTCTTTTCAGACATTCTGTGTGTAGCTGTCAAGGATATTTTTGTCTGAGAATGAAATATGCAAAACAACTTTTATAAGTTTCTCTTCAAAATCCACTATCTGATAGCTTGAAGAAAATATAAAATCTCTTTTTTCATCACACACACACAGGCAAAATCAAGACCTTAAACTCCCAAACTCCCAAACATGACAATGGATGAAGGGCATTTCTACACCGGAGAATGATGTCAACTTCATGAATCAGTCAATGCTATTCAGAAGAAATATAAAACAGAAAAGCATAAAAAGTCTCTAGTAAATTCAAGGTCATTTTAAATGGTCATATAAATGCCACGATTTAAGTGTCAGATTCTCTGACACTTTTAGTGCCTCTGTTACTTCTAATTCGGAAAGATTTGCAGAAGAAATTCCAATGATTCCAAATGCTCCATTTGATTTTTTAAAAGTCTTTAAAATGCATTCAGGTAATCTAGGTGAATTCACCTTAAATATTTGCCCAGCACTATCAGGGAAGTTCGATTATACTAGATTTTCTTTTAAGAAAATAGTGAGACATCTTTGGTGAATCAATGTAAATTGTACTGATGGAGAACAACTGGATTTTTTTTTTAAAGCAACTCTACAAGGATCTTAAGTCCAGACAAGAAGCAAGCATGAAAAACAAATAAAAAGAAAGAGTCTAGACATAGCTAGCCCATCCTGAAATTAAAATCTTCTGTGCCAGTAGCCATATTTACAATGCTGGACAGTAATAGTCTTGGTGCCTTTCTTGCTTTGTGATAAGATTGAAGAAGAATAATTGTTAGAAGATTCAAATATTTATTATTTAAGCTCTTTAAGGTGACTTACTATTTGTGGAGGACAAGCCACTTATTTTAGGTTGCAATTTCATTTAAAAGTTATTTTTAGATATTAAATGCATTGTAACTCTGAGTTCTTACAATAGTATTTTTTTAAACTCTTGTTAGACCAGTAAATGCAATTTTTAAATAAACTTGTACAGAATAATAAAAATATTTAACAAATTATGGCGCAGTTAAAACCTAGAGATCAAAATTTTTTCTCTTTGTACAACTCTGTGATAGATTCTTTTACCTTAACTGACAACCAGACTGCGAGTTAAAAAATGTCAGAAGAGTAGCAAAGAACAGATACTTACATAGTCTCAGAATATTTAGGGGACTTCAAGGAAATCTGATGTCATGTTGTGAAATGAAAAAAAAGAATGGCCAGAAGCATCTTCAAAAATAAGGTAAGGTAAAAAGAATAAGCTATCAAGGTTGTCTGAGAGCATCCAAAGGGAGTACCACCAAAGATATCCCTACTACTTCCTGCTGGGGGCTGCTCTAAAAATTCCTGAAAAAGCTATAAACCCTTTTCTGGTGGCTGGATTCCTGGTTGAGGCATGAGTTCAAAGAGGTTTGCAGGGGTGTGTCTCGCTCCTGTCTCTCTCCTATGGCGAGAGCAATTTGGTTCAGTTCCTCAGCAGCAAGCTGAGGGCTTCTCGGTTGGTCCTCGCTCTGAAGGCGGCTTGGCAGAGTATCACTGTGCAAGTCGGTGCCAGATTTAGAAATTGCTGGGGAAGAGCACCGAGATATGTTTGGCAGCGATGCAGTTGAGAGAAACCTCGCAGGAGAGAGCTGCACTGTTTGAAATGGGCTCTGTCTTTAGGTACAGAGCAGCTCAGACCCCAAACCTTCACCTTTTAAGAACATGTACTTCCAGTTATTCTGAGGATCCTTTTAAGCCAAAAAAGGAAATAAAGTCACATTCTTGAAATTATTTTAGGTTGTTGCTGGAGGGAAAGGAAGTTTCTTATGTGTTCTGTGTTTTTATTTTGTGTTCCCTGAATCCCTTCTCTACTATTATTTCCCTTGATTCATATTTTAACAAATGGCTTAATTCTGTTTAATCGTATACATATCATGCAACTTAATCATTAAATGAATAAGATTGTTCTGAATTTCACATGTACTATGCCAGTTGACATAAGCAACATTATAAAAACATTACCTGACTTTTCTGATAACAAAGAAAATAAACAAAAATGGCTTATTTTGCCACACATTGAAGGAACAATTGCCACACATTGAAGGAAAAATATGGACTTCAGTCTCCAATTTCAGTCCTAGTGACTTTCTGTTGGAATCCTCTAACACCTAAATGATCTTTCACTTAATCTCAAAATTATTATAGCTTTTCCCTTTTTTGTATCAGTTTTTGGGGTCACACGAGCTTCCTCAGATGACATTTCACATAGGTGATCTGAACATTTTTTTTAGCATGCAAATGAGAAAAGGAGGAAAGGCAAGTGCTATGCCAGACACCACCACCTGTGTCTTCACAGAAGATATTTCATTTTAACTTTATACCATTCACTTTGAGGCAAAACAATAAAAACCTAATTCATGACCTCTTATTTCTTGTAGTTATTCTAAACCTTTATTCCAGACATACTAAACTTCCTGTCACCAGTTTAACACTGTTGCAAAGCAGGACCCTAGGGGTCTGAAAGGAGACGGGGTTGGAATCTGCCTGTCCCTGTGCCCAGGTCCTCAGAATTTTGGGTAACAGCAAGCCACGGTTGGACGCTCCCTGGCAGACATGTCAGAACTTGCCCATCTCTGCCATGAACTCTGCAGCTCAGTTTGTTCACTGGTGCCATCTTACTCATCTGATTTTATGCTTTTGTTAAGCTCCTAAACCTCTGCATGGATTTAGAGAACCACATGTGCAGATTAAGACTGATGCAAATATTCATGACCTAATTGCCATGATGCTTAAGTTAGGAAAGCCTAATCTGGAAAAAGAGATAGGATTTATATTCTCCTGCCTAAGAAATGGGATGACTGTTGGATGCAGGGAGGTTGGTGATTTCTGGGAAAAGTATATAGGAATGTAAGCATATCAGCCTCACTTGTGTCATGTCTATGCTCTTATTTCAAGATAGCCTATGTGCTCCCCACTCTCTGTTGTAATAAAACCCAGCTTTATTGGAGTAACTTTAGCCATTCTCCCATTTCCAGATGCATATCCTATTTTATTAAAAACAACTATCTATATAGTGTTTCCTCTTGACCTTTCAATTCAGTCTGAAAAACATAAAGCTCTTAGCAACCTACTCCATTCTTCCTTTAAACCCTTGTTCATTCATGACTTTCTTGTGAGAAAGCTACAAATATTAGGATGAGTACCATAACCCTCCCATCCTGGGCCACTCGCTTACTCTTTAGAACCTATTGAACAATTTTCATGTGGCCTCTCACTATGGCCACCAAACACCCCAAACAAGAAAGCTCTAAAACATCACTTAATCAGCGCTGCACCCTCAAATGTCATCAGTATTGTCTTTCTCTTAATCCTGCAGTTATAGCCAGTAAAAAAACCAAAAAAATCACTCTGGTGTTCAGGATCACATCACTTGCCTTATGCCTTCATGTGCCCCAGACAGTGCCAGAGAAGAATCAAGTCTCTACTGTTCTCCATAAGCTCCATTCTATGGAAACCACATGTCTAATAACGTCTCGCCATCTTCCTCTACTTGAAACTTTTGCTTGCTTAATCCTCCAACCCCATTTTCCCCTGAGGACCTGACAAGTTCTAAAGTCTCCTGTCACATACTCTTTCATCTTCAAAGACCAACTGAAAGCCCTGCTCACCCCTCACTAAGGGAGGGCACAGATAAACCCTTCCACAGTAGTCACACCTCATTTCCTTGTTAATAGTCAAGCTTGGAGATCCATGCAATTCTCCATCTGAACTATATTATATGACCTCTTTTCAAATGGCTGTCTAGTTACTTCACCACCACTGGCTTCGTTTTTTAAAAGTGGTTTCTTTGAGGAGAATGTTGGTTTCAGATTAGATAGGCAAGGATTCTTGTCTGTTTTATAATTCACTCTCATGTGTTTGTAAATCATTTTGTTTAACTGTACTCTTTATGCAAATAATAAGACTAAATAGGAAATCAGCAAAAAAAGAAAAAAAAGAAAAAGAAAGAAAAGGTAGATGGGAGTGGGAGAAAGAGAAAAAACAAAAAATCTGTTCATGTTTATTTTAAGCATTTTGCTACAAAAACTGCTTCATGGGTTTTGGATGAAGATTCTGGGGCCTCATCTGGTGCGGCCTAGACCTCCTGCCAGTGCTCAGGAAAGAGAAAAGAGGAGCTTGGCCCTGCTACTGGCACTACCGACTAGCCACAGGATCCTCAGAGACTTACAATAAAATTATCCATTTAAGCACTTTCCTTTTTCTCGTCCATTTAGTGAAAGGGTTTATTGTAGCTCATTTTGTGTCACAATCTTGTTATTCTCCCCCTCTGACATCAAGCTGTAAGTTTGTCTTAGAGCCAGGCACAGCCAGAGACAGAGAGGAGGAGAACGTGCAGGCACCAAGAAAGTGGTTTCCTAGCAACAGCAACTATTTCAAAGATTTCATAACTCGTGTAGTTTGAATTTCCATAACCATATGGAAAATAGTAAATAGTAGATACAGTTAGGGGCTGAACGCAAATGAATTCTAATCAAGAAATGACTGATCAATGGAGGAAGCATCTATATTTGTTCTATTCACGTCTGTCTTATTAGATATTATACATCTTAGCTTCTAAGACCTAGGTTTTGTTGCTGAAAGCAGTGTGTTGTGATAAATCAGATGGTTTAATTAAAAAAAATATATATATATATTCTTATTGCCTCTTTTTCTCTTTTGTCAGAGGCATCTATATACTAAAGCAATTTAGAAGAGAAAGGTGCTCAGAAGAAGAAATTGTATTTTTAAAAATACAAATTTTATGAAGTTTAATTATTAAAATGTCAGCTATGGAGGTCACAATAAATTGTTATGCAAATAATCAATTTATTTTTTTAAAGTGGAACCTAACTGAGTTGACAGTACCAGCGTGATTATTTCTCCCTTCCCTCTTGACTTGAAATTACTTTGGTTATAAAATTGCACCCACTAAAAACAAAGGCACTTTTTAAATAAATTAAGCCCATATACATCATATTTAAAATAGCACAGTTATAGTATTTCATTTCTTTTCTCCTTCTTAGACTACATGGTTATATTCCTCCCTTGTATATATCTACCTCCTTTATAGGAAGATCACAAAAGTAAATATAGATAAAGCTTTTTGAATTCATATTGGAACAATCAATAAAGACTAAAAACAACCAACTTATGTAAGTGTGTATCAAAAATACATAGAAATAAAAATATGTATATCTATTTTCCCGTCTCTAAATTGAAGGAAATATTTTTCACATTGCTTATACACTTTTAAGAAAGAAAAATCCATGTGGATGATTTTGAGGTATTGTGAATACAATCTTTTAAAGGGAAAAAAGCAGTAGAGATGAAACTGTGAGATCTCCTATGGGATTATCAAGTCGATTCATAGATATGAGTCTTTACCCAATACTTTACAGGTAGCTCTTTAGTCCATTTGCTTTGGTGTGTTTTTGTGGAATGCTGTGTTCACAGGAGACACCAAGGGCATGAGAAGATGCTTCTGTTCTCCTGGGTGAATGCTAGGGCAGTGAGATCACAGATAATAGGAGATTGACCCATTAGTAGTGTCAGGTAATATATATTTAGAAGGTCAGAAAGAGTTTCTGTGAACCCAGAGGCCTCCTTATTATGTGGTCCTTGGGATTTACAAAATTTAAGCAAGATTCTTTCGATTGTTCAGTAACAACTTCCTTTGAGGAATTCTGAAAGAGACTTGCCCTATAGCTGAAACCTGCTGTGTATTGATAGGAGTGCTACAGGGTATTTTTAGGGGTCAATGTGAGAATATTGGACATGCAATTTTTTATGTTAGTGTTGGAATGAAAGTTAGTTATGGCACTCTGCTATTAATTTATCAATTATAAAATTATTCAGTTTGAAAATGCAATGATAATGGAGCCAATATTCCTATTCCCTATTAATACAGGAAACATAGTTACAGATACCTATTTTAGTAGAAGCATTTATTATATGATGTAATTTAATTATCCTTAAATAATGTTTTGACAGTTATGATTCCAATTAGCAAGTATAAAAAATTTCTGATGGAAATAAATTTCTGTGCCAAATATTTTTCTTCATGTAAGCAGCAAAACTTTGATAGTAAGCCATCAAAATATCTGTCACTTTAAAACCTGAATATTTTTATCACAACCTAAGGCTACCTAGAAAGCTCATTTCTGAAGAAAAAGAGAAGCTTACATAGAGATGGGACACTTTTCTCCTCTTTAACATCTAAAGTGTTACATCTTTTGAAAATTTCACACAGATATATCACGTATCTCGCTTAAACCAGCACTGTTCATCCTTAATGGTCAATCAAAAAAACATATGTGTCTACTCTGAACAATTGTCACACAAACATATTAGAGATAATATTAATACAAAAGACTCACAAGGTAGTTACAGTTGGAGAACAACAGTACCCTAAATGATTCAATTTCTTTTTAACTTTTACTTAACTTTGGGCTATAAAGATTTTGGAAGATTTTTAATGCTGATATTTTAGGTAGAAATTTGTGATGTGGAAATAATAAGGCTTGGCAACTGTGAACTAAATCTGATTTTTAAAATCATGAAATACCCTCTCCTTGCAATGTGAAGTCACTATTCTTCTGTTTTCATTGTTTTTCATCATATCATATTCTTAGACTACACATGTGGGTTTATTGCTGACATCTGTATCATACTAAAGTAGCTCAGAAATATTGTTCTCCCCATCTGGCAAATGAGATAAAAACCTTTGGTTACCTTCACACATCACTGTAAAAACTATGTGGGTGTATACTCATATACACATGTGTCTTTTTGTAATATGCACATCATCAAAAAGCTCTCATACAAGATAGATAATGTGAAATGACAGCATAGACCATTTTCCCAAAATTATTAGCGTGTCACTGTGTCACTGTGTGTTTTAGTTGCCACCATCCCTAGAGTAAATGCTAAAATGACTCATAAACCTTGTAAATACTGTGTCAGTGCTTGCAAACACTCAGAATAATTTTGGCACTGGTTGGAAAAAAATATTCTGTCTCTAAACAACTCACGTCTGAAATCCATCCCTGTTCTGAGTGGATTTGGGGCAAGTTAGTATCTCCACTTATAGAGGATCACTTTTTTTCCCTCACTGGTGACAATAACCTTGACCATGGCCTGGAAAAATGCTGTGATTATAGATCTGCATTTCTTGGGGACCATTACTAGCTCTCATGTGCTACTGTGCACGTTTTTTCTATTTTCTGAGCACAAACATCTATTTCAAAATCATTCATCTGTAATAACCTTAACCGCAACTTAGTATAGAGACAAAAGAACTTCATTAATCTTCAACATTTTCTATCTAAAACAAAATTAGTTAAGTATGAAGAATAGGGATATGCTGTATATCGAAGCACAAGGTAGGGAATGGGCTTACGAAATATCACTGCATTATGTTTATGAACCATACCTTTTAAAAAGATGACACTCTTCCCTCTTAACCACCAGTTTTTCTAAAAGATATATCCATATCTATGACTCAATCCTAGCCCTTACTGCATCTATTCTCCCTGGTTCTTGGCACCTCTGGCTATGTTTTCCCTTGCATAGTCCCAGCTCTTTTAATCCATCACTTTCAGAGTCCAAGGAGCTCTCTTGAACTTCACTATAAAACTGTGTTTTAGCTTTGACCCCCAAATGATTGTCTTTAGAGGAGACTAGCTTTAATCTAAAGATCAAAATAGTAAAATAAAGATCATGTTTGTTAACAAGAAACATACTCTCCTAAGCATCATTCTTCTCTCTCAAAAGAATTATATATCTCACCTCTCTGCGAAGAATGCAGTGGACCATGACTATCACAAAGCCTTGCAATGAATCAAACACAGCAAAAAGTATTTGAAACAATATGGAGCGTTTGTCTGTCATGGCCAGAACAGCAGACATCCACGTCAGAGCCAGGAGGGGCAGGACCACACAGGAGCTCCAAAGGGATGCCCTGTTAAGAGACAGAGAGAGCAACCTTACGAAGCTGCACATCACACCCCAGGCAATAACCAAACCCCCGCTCAGCAAAGCATTCTTTTATGTGGCTCCAAGACATTAACTTGGAAACCACAAAGCAGATAACATTTGATAGTTTTATTTATTTTTTATAGACAATCCCACAATAGTTATAAAAGCAGTTGCCAATTATAAATATTTAAGTATACTCTTAGCTCTAGCATTAACAAACATGATTTTTTTTTTCCATCATAGCATTTTCTCACATGCACTGTAAAAGATTTGTAACAAGAAGACGTAAATGATTGGGACTAACATGGCGTTACTGGCGGTGGTGGCTGACAAAGCTGTTGTTGAAACTACTCCACACTTGGCACATTTGAGCGTCAAACCGCTATGAGGCTCACTCATCTGACTGCAAACAAACAGAACACCCACAAAAAGAACAAAATATTGAATTGTCACCAAAAAAAAACCATTGCTGCTGCAAGTTAGCTTTATAAATATGATATTATGCAGAAAAAGTATATTCATCAAAGATGAATGTTCTAGGTCATTTTAAAGATGCATTTACACTACACATTATTTTTGTAACATTTACCTTTCAATAATATGGGCCTTTGTTGCATGCGAAGCACATTTCCATCATTTACACCATAAATGGCCCTTGGGTCTACAGATCAAAAATGCCCAATACACTGAGTTAAACATAAGCATGTTTGTGTAGACATACAGTGAAAACCCTTTATTCAGACCCCTGATAATCAAACAGGTGAGGACTCCAAGCTGCCAAGATTTTCATTGTCATTTGCAAAAGGCATATAATATCAAGTAAAACCTTTTGAAATGTAAACATGAACCTCAGAAACCCAATATAGGACGGTATCTATTTTAGGTGTTTAGTCATTTGTGGAAGATGTAGCCTTTCTTCAATATATTTAGATTTTGGAATTTCTTACAGAATCAATGCACTGTCTGTATTTTAGGATGATCTGAATATAGGGGCTGATGAAATTTGATGACATATTAGTTGGTAATAAAAAAGGGTGATAGTTTTCTGCTTTAATAAACACATTTAACATCATCATTAAATTCAAAATATTCTTTCTCAACATTTTTCCATAGATGCCAACTAAAAACATTTAAATGGTCTATTCTAGTCTAAAGGGTTTTGCAGGTAAATATGGATTCAAATAATTCAAGTTCAATCTACTGTGTCACAGAAGCAAAGTCATACTACATAGGAGAACTTCATACACATTTTGCTTTAAAAAAGAGTCCTTTGAAAATGACTGGTTTACTAAAACACAATCCTCTTAGGAAAAAACAAAAAACAATGACTTGAATAAAAATTCAAAACACCTTGTCATGGACTACCCATGAGGTGTTTATGTCTAAAATATAAGTTTGCCTAATAGGTTTTTTCCCCCTGAATATTATAGTGGACTTACATTACCATATGTGTACAATAAAATTGGCAGAACAGAGCAAAATCCTAAGAGTCTCATAATTCAGAATGTTTCTTTTAAAGAAGTGCACTGATTTGTGAATAGTGCCTATATGGGATAATACATCTTAAAGCTATTAAGTAAGTTGATTGATCAGTAGACCCTACGAGAAAAAGCAAAGCTTTCCGAGTTCAATGTGGGGGTGGGGAATAGTACATCATTCACTTGACTGATCCAACCCTGGACAAATGTACTAGTCGCATCTGTCTAAACTTTTCAAAATAATAAGTAACCAATCATCATGGTTCATGAATGCATCAATGGGCATACCGATGTCTTTGAAACTACTCCCAGTGGCTACTTAAACCAGTATTCCCAGAGTGGCTGAACATCAGATGTATATATCCAACCCCAAAGACTCTAATTAAATGGGATCCAGTTATCTGTATTTTTCAAAGTTCCATAGATGATGATGATGAACAAACAGGAATGAGCACCACTGCCGTGACTATTGAGCATCTTCAATCTTGTTAAGTCTCACTAGATTAATATTAAAAGACATTTATTGTTCCCTTTATCACAAAAGATAGGCTGTTTGGTGTGGGTGCTTCGAACACGAATGTGGCTATCTTTCTGAATTTTAAGGACACTATGCTTCTAGGCTCTAAAATAAGATTTAAAAGCCAAAGATTGCTAAAAAAATAATTTTAGTACACAATAGAAACAAGTATTTTAGCCTTGAAAAACTGTAATTTGATCTAAGTATGGGCTTTTCTCAAAATATATTTTCAGACAGTATTTGAAATACTCATTTCTCTTTATTTGAGATTTATTTGTGACTGACTAAAATGACTACACATACTTGCCTTAGTCAGAGCTAACTGTTGAAAACAATGCTGATGTTAACTGGTTGGACACCCTTGGAATTCTATTATTAGATGTCAGTGGAGCAGAGGAATGATGGCTTTCCCAGAGAGAGCTAATACTTTTTCCTAGTTTGCATGGCCATTACAGAAGTGAATATAACTTAAGAAGACACAGTCTAGATGCTAAATTGAGTTGCTGCAATGAAAAATAAAATCTTGTTTCTTTGTTATATGGGAAATTATGGAGTTATAAAACAAAAAGTGCTAACAATTAAAAGAAAAAATTAATTTCCCACAAGGTCAGATGTAACCAGTATCCCCGAGAGCACTAGGTCTGAATGCGAGTCATTTCACTACTCTCTCCAGGTTGTGGGGTCTTGGAGTCTACAACTTCTAGTTCCTTTCAACAATTTTCTTTTCCTTAGAAAAAAACATTTTTTTATCAGATTGCTTTATTGTTAATACTATAAAATATTCCCCAGAAAGAAAATGTATTCCCCTCCCTTTGGAAAAATCTCATGAAGTTTATACTAGATCCTGGTACAGCAGTCGGCTTAATTTCAGGTAGACAAGGTAAAGCAGTTTAAAGTCTGTAGTAGATAAGAAAGCTGCACTGCAGCAAAAGAGAAAATATTTTGTTTGAGATATTCTAAAAAGACACATGCCATTTTATCTTAGTTTCATTCTTTCCAATTATAATTTTATATAAGATGTGTTGATACTTGCAATAAATTCACCCCTGGTAAATATATTTTATGTATTGAAAATTTTAATATAGTTTGGGTATTATAGAACTTGTCAAGCTATTGTATTATTCATTAAATATTCATTCACTTATTTGTTTATAAATATTTATTAAGCATAGCTATATGCTTGGCAGTGTCTAATAATTGACTATAAAAAAAGAAAGGAAACAAAGAAATAGAAAAAAAAGGAAGGAGGACTGTCAGTATCATATTTCATTCTAAATACTATTTTAAAAGAAATGCTTGATATATATGTATATTCATAGAATCTGAAATGGTCAATATTTATAATTAGAAAGATCAATTGTAAGTTAATCAATTAGTTTTCTGCTCAATGTTTCTTTAGTTAATTTTGGTTATTTGTTCTTCTCTAAAGTCTTTATTGCTGTCCTCACTGCTTTCTCTGTGAAATAAAATTAGTTTCAAAATTTTGAAGCTAATGATCTTCAATCACACTTTGGAACAGAGAGAATATTTCAATCTATATATATACATACTTAAGCTAAAATAGTGTTTTGTATTATAGATAAAATTCCTTTAAACCTAGAGTCATTGATTTGTTAATAGTTCTTTTCTGCTTTGGACAGTAACCAGTATTCTGCTTTTAATGTTTCTATTTCTCCAGCAGTGACCTTTGAACTAGAAAAACATTGCTTGACTCAGTTTTGCCAGGGAAACAGATGCAGCTTTTATTTTTAGAAATACAGGTTTTAAAATTAATATGTAGATCAAAATAGGTAATTTCTAAATTCATAATGTGACAATGTTGTCATTTCTCCTAACCCTATGTTATATCTCACAAAGAGCTATGTGAATCAAAATGGATATTACATATAAAATAACTAAATGAGAAAAAATATCAATTGTAAAGTTAATGATCCTCAGCACTATACTTATTCTGATCATCTCATCTCTTTTTTCTGACCTCAATGTCATAAATGGTAGAACCACAGCAGCTGGACTGATAGAAGTCAAGGTCCTTTGAAAACAACCTGTCCACCTTGGCTTCCTCATTTCATTCATCATAACAATAGCTACCATTTGTTGAGGGAGTGCTTGCTATTTGCTAGATATTCTAATGAGTGCTTTATGCACATTATATTCCATATGCTGCATTTTGAGGCAAGAGTTATTATCCCAATTTTACAGGTGAGAAGACTTAGCAGCAGAAAGATTAAGTAACATGCCCAAAGACACACACAACTAGTAAACTGCAGAGCTAGATTTTGTATATGGGCTTTTTTTTTTTTTCCTTTTCTTTTACTTCAAGGCTTTATCCTAAACCACTAACTACCCCACACCCCAGTTAAAAAAAATTATATAAGTTTACACCACTAGAGTTTTATACCTGGTAGTCAGTATGATCAATTTATTCTTACATCACAATTCTAGATGAAAATAACTGAAAAAGCTCTTGCTCCAATTCCAACCATATGTGGCACACTAGCAAGAGTAATCGTGTGAAAGCTTCAAGTTCAAGTGGTATAGAAAGCTCAGTGTCTGTAAAAGTTCAAGTCTGCCTATTTAAAGATGCTATGGAGACTTGTCTGAAGTGAAGAAAAAAAGTCTCTAAATGGAAAGTGATTTTCCCCTCAGAAAGGAACCTTTAATGATGTTTTTATTACACTACTGTGGTTTTGATGTTTGATATGAATGATATCAATTTTTTATATTGAAAGCCATTAAACCTATTCTTTTACTAGGGGAAAAAATAAAATACCTATACTCTCTTATAAATCATTACATAGATTATAAAAACAGAGAGGACCTAAAATTCTCACCAGTCGATCATCAAATACTATGACTATTAAATAATGCCATAAATTATTAAAGAAATTAAAACAATTGTAGGGTAAGTTTTGAATAAGGTGTAGTTAAACAGAAAGGAGAATGCTATAAACTTTTTATAAGAAAAAACACAAAGGGAAATTCAAAGCCATTAATACTTCAAGGTTATACAAATTTTTTATGATGAAGTGATGATATAACCTTAAAAATCTGCTATCAATCTGCTTATGAAAGTTATTAAATCATTGGATATGGTGATATTAAAATAATAGTAACATGCTTTTCTAAATTTTATAAATGGTTAAAATGTGCAAGTGAAAATTATGAATAACTCTTTCTAGCAAGTTATAGTCAAAATGTCATGTAGAATGAGAATTTTTGACAAGAATAGTGTTTCATAAAAAGATTATTTCAAGTAAAGAATTTTTCTGATATATACAGTTAACCAAAGAAAATGCAGCATTTTCTCTCTACTAAGGTTTGCTTGTCCCAATTCGGTTGTGTCTTATATTGACATTAAATTCAATCTATACTCCTTTCTTTGTGACCCAAACTAAGGGCCTTTGAAAATCCACACCTGAGACATGTATTTTAAGTCTAGCCTTAACATTTAATCTTATCTTACAAACAGGCCACATACATAAACCTAGATTTTCTTAATGGTTTTCTGACCTATTTTTAGATTTTGGCCATATCACCTAAGAATAATAGTACATTGAAAACTCAAATGGCAGAATCTATTGGACACACTGTTGCATCAAGAACAAAATTCAAGGCAGTTAAATGCAGTCCGTGATGACCTAGAATTGGAGTATGGGATTCACTGGTAAAGAACCTTGAAAATCCACTAGTTGCGGCTTACCCGGCTCTGTGTTTGAGCTTTTTATCTAGGATCCCATCTCTGGAAACAAGTTTATTAAATACCAAAATGCCAATCACCATGTTGACCTGTCAAACAGAAACAAAGGTTGACCTTTCAATGATGTTGAAGGGAATTAGGTCCCTGTTTCTCCTGCAAACCCTCTTTTATCAATTTACAACCACCACAGAATGAAATACAATAGCAGTGCCGTGGAGCACTTCTCAAAGAGTTTATAAGTACATAAAGGAATAAGGAACAATTTAACAGTGCTGTGTTACTTTAAAGTTTTAAAGTACATGGAGCACCCTTGACTTCAACGCTTTGCAGTTACCACTGAGTAAATTAACATTCCATTGCCTAACTTTTAAATGGTGCCACACTATGCCAATCTGGCATTCTTCTTTCTGAGTCACCCCTGAATAAAATCAGTTGGCTAAATGAGTTTTACCCTATGCCTGCGAGTCAAAAGACTTTGAGCCTCCCAGCTGGGGCTGCCAAGGGGGCAAAGGATGTGTCACTGCCCCAGCAGGGAGGACAGAATGCCTAAATGCCTCATGCCGTGTGGCTGTGTCTCCTGTGGGGTGGGCAGCATTTGGATGCACCATGCTCTCCTCCAAGCAGGTAAAGCCTATTCAACTCATCGCAATCCTTTAAAAGATGAACACTAATACCACTTCTTGTAATGTGTGATATTGAACGCTTCTCAGCATTCTCTAAGACTCTCTTAATCTCACTTCCAAGGACTTAGATACAGCTGAAATGAAATCACACACATTTTTCTTTCTCCAGGAAAATGGTTAAAAAGCTGCAGAGATAGCTGTGGGCTATTTGCAGCCACCCATTAGGGTGAGCGCCCACAGTTCTCTAGTCTACCACACTTCCTGGGCAAGGAAGCCAGGCCAATGCTGAAACCAACACAAACAAGGACAAATATTTCCTGCCCTTTACCCTCCACAATCAACAGAATCTTGGTGCCCCTCCAGTGCAAATGGTGAAGGCGATACTGGAACTAGTTTTTCACAAAAATCTCTCAAATTAAGCAGGATTACTAGTTTACTAGTTAAGAAAAAAAAAATTCCACTTCACCCCAATACTCTTTGGCCAGATGAACTATAAAGCTGAAATCTATTTAATTGCTGGTGTAAGGAAGATGCAAAGCACCAGTTAGGTCCGGATTTTAGGAGGTGTCACTCTTCATAGCTTCATGACAAGATAACATTTAATCAAGAGACTCATCTTCATACTTCTCATTATTATGAACTAAGAGAAAAAGTGTATTTCATGGATTCTATTAATCTCCAATTTCACCTAATGAGGAGATTCATCACCACTCCAAAAACCATACTTTGGTCTTTCAATTATACACATACTCTTCATCTAATCATTTTAGGGGTATATGTATATTCACCTAGGAGCTTAGGGAAATAATTCAATTGATTAAATAAAAATTCAATACATCAGACAAAAACGTATCTACTAGTTTCAGTTTCCCTATGCTGTTCTTTAATGCTTAGGTTTTAGTTCTTTGTGCAACATTAGCAGTTTCTGCTCTCTATCATAGCTTAGAGGAGAGAAAACTTTAAGGAAGAAAAAGTCACAGAGTTATTAAGAAAGATGTCGCTAGCTACCAATTTATTGAATGAGTTATTCAAGAAACCAAAGGGCAATTTCCCAATTAGAAATCTAATTGCATAGCGATATGGATCTTTGTATTTAGTTCAGACCATTTCTTTACTTCATTACATTTTTTTCTAAGGATTTATTGGACAAGAAAGATTTGTAATCAATAAATTCAGAGAGAGAGAAAGGCAAATTGGTAGGAAACTTTCATGTTCCTATAATTAAACATGGAAAGGAATTATTTTGTGATTCCAAAAAGGAACAAAATCCTCATGCGTAATATAAGCAGGGATTATCAATTGGGGGTGATTTTTACCCCCCAGGAAACATTGGGAAATGCCTGGAGACACTGATCATTACAGCTGGAAGATACTACTGGTATCCAGTATGTAGAACCTGGGGATTCTGCTGAACATCCTAAAATACACAGGATAGTCCTGCAACAAACTGAAACAGCTGGACCAAAATGTCTGCAGTGCTGAGGTTGGGAAACTTGGGTATAGGGACATATATTTTCTCATTGATATTTGGTAGCAGCAGCAGTTATTAAGACTGAGCTTTTAATAACTATGTAGATCATACAGAATAGTATAAAGGTGAAATAATCATAAATGATGAAATTCTATACATGAAAGAGGAAGAATTTATTGGAACTTACTCAAACTTCTTCACAAATATGAAATTACTGTAAGAGAAATCCCACGCTCCCACATTTAATATTCTTCAACCTTCAAAATATTATAGGAACATTTTAGAGTAATTAAGGATGGAATACCAGTTGATATTCAAATTTAAGTAATAATTCACTGAACTTTAAAATTTCTACACAACATAAAATTGTCACTCTAATTGAAACAAAGTACTCTTTTTTTCTCGTTTTTTCCTAAGGAAACAGAATAAGCTGATTTCAGTGTTTACCAGGACAACGGCGGCGGCAGGTCCAACAAAAGCGTAGAGTAGTCCTCCTTCAAGAGAGAGCCAGCAACTGAAAATAACATCAGATAAAAACTAACAAAAATTAGTGATAAGTGTTAAACCACGAAGGTGTGATACAGATAACTTGGACTATCACTTAGCCTTGGAATTCTGACAAAATTCAAAGCTTTGTAATTAAAAAAAAAATGCATAGAAGACATGGAAAAAGCTAAAATTAGAATAGTTCACGAGTGAGAAATACTATACACGTCACACAGAAAAAGAAACTTATTATAAGGCCTTACTTCCAGGCAGTTAAAACATTTTAGACAAATTACTCTTGGCGGTGAGATTTTTATATTGACTTTCAGTACAAAGATGACTATTAAGTTTTGTAAAATGCTGCTTTATATCCATGATAGAATTTTTCAAATGTGCTTTTAAGGAAGAACAGTGTGTATTTAGAGTCGAAGACATGCCATTTACCAGATCTTCCTTCAGGCCACTGAGCTATTGGGAGAAAGTGATTTAAAATCCATCATTGCAGCAAATGGATAATTTGTGGTTTGCATGCTTTTTTTCCTTCTAATGTTACTTTCTCACCACGGTACAAAGAAAACTTGCTAAAGATAAACTTTTGATTAAAAATCAATGCCGCTGTGTTTATTTCAATTACTAAATTCATCAAGAGATACAGGTTTGTAGTGATAGAGACATGGTAACCCATTTAGGCAAAAACATTCATTCTCTCACAGCACAAGGACACAGAGAGGGCATGGGGCTTGGCACTGGAGGCTTTGTAAGGTGGCTCATGTGCACGTCAGAATCTGGGAGAGTCAAAGAGGAAACTATGAAGAATTGTTTTATCACTGCTGATGAAAACAATCATGCCCACTACTTCATGTGCCTGTTTTTGACATGTGACCCTTTTCAGTATTACTGTCAGTCCACAGAATCAGCCTGCTGCCTTCAAAATTAACAGTTATCAATAAGTGTGCTCTGTTTGTTTTGACAATAAACTTCTATATTGGTGGTGGTGGTTACATGACTTGTGCATTTGTTAAAAGTCACAGAACTCTAAACCTAATAGGGTAAGTGTTACTTTATTTACTCTAAATTATACCCTAATTAACATTTTAAACTAGTAATTTTATATACATACATACATACACATATATATATATCAATAATACATAACACAGCATATATGTGTGTATTCGATGTCTGATTTACTTACTGCTCATTACCATAACAGCAGACAGTTAAAATTCTACTTTCCCCCTTTGGGGTTGACAATTTAATATCTATTTTTTAAGTAAAATACCTGGAGGAAAAACTCTTAGTCTGATAGAACACTTTAGTTTGGTGTCTCTGAGACTGCCAATAAATTTCAACTATATTTTTGTGTAAATCAATCTTTATATTATATTGTATTTGGTTTTAATCATACTCTCATTGAAAAGTTGGAACTACATCATCCATAATCCTACTTCTGTCCATATCGCCAGTACAGTACCTTTTAAATACTGGGTTTATGCCAAAGGAATCATACTATTGTAAAAAGTAATAGATTAAAGGAAATAGTGCTGTAGTAAGCGCCGCTCTACAACATATGTTATTAGGGAGATTTTTTCTCCCATCCATAGATTGCATAAGAAAAACAAGAGCTCTGATGACACTAGTTCTTTAAATTTTTTGGAAATTTTTTTGGATGGGCAGGTGAAGTAGTGTCTCTCATACTCTGTTTGGATGAACCCACCAGATGGCCTATATGGCAGTGATTCTTATCTCAGACCTGAAGGCAATCAAACACAACACCGTATTTTAAAACTTTGCTTCTGACAAGATGTACATCTCTCTCCCCATTTCTCAACTGCCTCCTCAACTTTGAACAAGCAAATGAAATATAAAAGTGTATTGTTTTATGGCTGAAATATAAACTTTAGTTATAAATTATCTCGTAGACTTTATTAGTATTATAGTTATGAGTAGTATGAGCTGATATATACCCCTTTTTCTTCCTTCTATTTTCTCCCCGAAGCCCAGGCAATTCCTAATCTGGGATCTGTTGATTCCCGTGATCTATGAGTTTTAGTTTGTATTAGCCCAACATAGCAAGAAAACTCAAACTAAACTTGACAAAACTTGGTTGATATCAATATGTATTATCATCAATGGAATTAAAAGCTCAGATCATAATCACATATTAAAAGGTAAATGCGTCAAGATGTGTCCAGTTCTAAAAAAACATGTTTGAGATTGAACATGTAAAGAACATATTGACATATTTAAAAAATCAAGTACATTGGTCTTATGAAGAAATGGAAATTGATACAAGGATTTTGGACAGTGCCGTGACATTCATTTCCTAACCTCTGTGCATTTAAACTACCTCACATCATTCCTCACTAATGCGATTTCTACAATTGTTAATGACTCAATGACAAAACGCAAGCCATCAGCAGTGCCAACCAAGACTAATGGAGCACATTGATGACTTCCTTAATTATAAACATGATTTATCACTGTGGATGGACTTACTAGTGATCAGTGCCATATCCTTTCGTCCTCGTGAAGCCTACTGATGTGGCCACTACTAATGCTGGTAGACCTGTAAGAAAAACATTGCCACACTTCACATTCAGCTATAACCACGGTGCATACTGGCTCAAGAAAAGCTAGGACAAACTCGAAATGCTGAAATCAGAGGAACTACCTTTGGATGAATCACTTCATACAGCATGTTTCCATTATAAAATTACTTTCAAGTACAGAAATATGAGAGCGACAGCTGGGTTTTTAACTCAGTGCACTTCATTGATGTTGCTAGGTTACTATTACATTTGACATGGGTTTAAAGGAAACTAATAACAGAGATTTAGTATATCTTTTAAGTTATTTTTCCCCTAAGGGTTTAGACTGTTATAATATCAGATAGGCAAAAAAAAAAGTGGATGTTCTGGTGTGATGGACTATCACAGAGGTGGAACATTCAGTTGATTGGCCATATATTGATCCACATCAAGTTGTACTTAGATTAAAAAAAAATAGTGTCACTTAATTCTTTATGATTTACTTACATCAGCAAGAATGTAGAAACAGAGTTAAGGGCCCTAACAAATTAATTTTGCATCTTCCCGATTACCCTCCTTTAATAATCCTGAATGGAGGTCAGAAAATATATGCCACTTTCTCTTCTTGGACCTCTAGGTAGGTATCACTCCATGTATTACTCAGTGCCCCTTAGAATTCACTTGCCCGCATACCTGCAACAATTCTGTCCTGGCACCTTTTAGTTTCTGTTTACATGAATCAAGTTCAATGAAACCTCCTTGTATTTTGGTGAAAAGAGCTCAGTCTAATCTATGCTGTTTAAATTCTTTTTAAATTTTGATCATGTCTTTCTTTCAGGAAGCTCAGGCCTGCCTTGTCAGGTTGTAAAATCTATCACCTAATCACCTCGTACCCCCTCGACCCATCTTCCTTTTCCCTGTTGCTTCCCCTCCTTCCTGTTATTCTTTTCTGGGAGTCTTTTCAAGTGACATAAGATTTAATGACAAGAACTATGGAGAGCACCTCAGAGGACATACCATATTTTTAAACAAATACTCGTGTCTGTGTCTATGTGTCTCTCTCTCCGCATATATTTGAATCATATATAATTATATATACATATATATGATATATACAATGTTTCCTCCTTTATGCATTTCATGCATATCATTAGTTGGCTTTTTTGATTGACTAGAACAAGTTCATAGGAAAAAAATTATCTCCTACGTCATAGCTGAAGGGTTAACAGTCTTTATTCCACATAATTTAGATTTAAAAACTCTAAACTTACTGTGTTGCACTTTGCCATAATGAGACTCCTCTGCCACCATTCTGTCCACTCACAGACTTCCTGATAGTCTAGTACCATTGGAAATTGCCACTCTATATATTTCAAGGAGAGTCTTCTTTACCTAAATTCTAGTTTTCTTGGATCTATGGTACTAATTAATGATAAGAGTATCTCTGATTCAATACCAGTCTGACTTTAGAAGGTCTTTGACATAAATCCACACAAAAATTTTATGAGAGTATAAATAGAATACCTTCTCTAATTTCTTAGCAGCTTTCCCATTTATTTTATTAGGGCAAAGACCCCAAATACTTCGTCAGACATGAGAGACCATTGCTGAAACCTGATGGATAATCTTTAAGTATTCTTGACCGTATTTTTTCCAGCATGAATTACTCTAGTATTTTAATAAGTCCACTTATTTGTAATTTTTCAGGCTCCACAAGCATCCCACTCTCCAGTCTTCTGATACATTAGGTATTTGTTGTATATTTGGTCCAAAATTCCTCAGTGTTTTTAGTGCAAATCTTTTGAAACTCAAAGGCAAACATATCAAAATCCTGGGGTTTTTCTAAAACTAGTTCCTGAAATTAATTAAACTAATTATTTCTAATTAAAGAAAACTAATTAACTCTAATTAAACATTAGAATTCATCCTATGAAATGCATAGATGTCTATTTTATGAGGCAATTTAAGAAAGATTTTTTCCTAATAAAGACAGGCAAAGAATTAATTAATTCCCAGTCTGTCAACAATTCTGTTTTCCCTTTGAGGACCAAACTGACTATCCATGAAGTTTCATTCATCCTCTAAGTGGCTTTTCCCCGGTGACATAATAGCTGTAGTCTTTAATTGTTTTGAGCGTTCTTTGAATGAATTCCTCAGAGTTTTCTTGTGGGAGGTACATGACTAGTGTACATGACTTCGAGCCCTGAATATTTTAAAATATTTTGCATTTTCAGAACATATCACAGCAGAGAACATTTTGCTTTTCTGCCTGTAAATATCTCAGGCCTCATCTCACCCCACTCACTGTTGATTGTTAACTAACTACATGGCCGTCCAATATTTACTCCTTTTAAAGTTCCAAATGTCTCAAGAACGTTAAAAAATGACCAGCCTCACATACTTCCACTTCTATATATCAAATTAGACACAAATAAAAGTATCCTGAGATAAGCACACTATATTTCTTTGTTATACGTGTTCAGTCATTTTAATAAAAGTACAAAAGGGTAGATTAACATGCTTACCCCATCCAAGGCACAAAAAGCGTTTCCTTATAAGCCGTGTCCTAATTTTTCCAGTTACAGCCATATATGACTGCCACGCCTCAGTTAAAACCCAACAGAACGAAGCCAGGAAGAAAAAGTGCAAAAATGCAGTGGTGGTCGTACAGATGCTCTGTGGAAACAAAAAAGACTCACACTGAATATGGGGGGATCATGTGTCCTTCAGAGAATGGGTAATTTCCAACTCATTGCTCTTATTTCAAATATCTACTTCCCCTCTGTGACAGAGTAATTATTTACAGAAATTAGAAATCCTGTAGTCTTTATGCTGTATACACTATCTACGATAGAAAAAAAAATTTCATGTGTGAGTTCAATTTTTTATGAGAAGAAGCCTAAATGTAAATTTAAACTCAAGGGAGATTAAAATTACTGCTTTACTTGAATTTTTTTCTTGAAATATAATTATGGGAATGGTCCTTTTTTTTTTTTGGTTTAATTTATGTTACAGACATCCTTTGGCATGATTCTTTGGGTACATTCTTTATCCTTCCTTTTCAACTGATAATTCTTGGCTGTTTTATTTGTGTCGATGTTAAGATTACATAGCAACAGCTTTTGAAAAGGAAAAATTGCTTTATTACAAGTGTGATATTCAAGGTATAACAGCAAAGCATAAAGTGGTTTGGCTAACAGCCTAGTACAAAAATAACTTATGCATCTTAAAGTACCTAATCCATTACTCTCTATTATTACATTATAATACGTGGCCTAATCAAATCATTTTAAAAAGCTAATCGAGTCACTGGCAGTACACAGCCATGATTTCACAGATTTTTTTTTTTTTATTCAACTTAATCACGGCAAATGTGTCAACTATCAATGGCTTGTGACTTGTCTGCAAAGATGAGCACCTTCATCTTGGTAAAGGCTGCTTCTTACTGCAGTTGGTATAATTTGTTTGGGTAAATCTTATTAAAATGCAAGTCTTCATAAACCAGAACCAGTTAAATGAGCTAATTTCTCCCTTTGTTGTGCTCAGTCTTGTTATTTCCAAAAATTGAAAAGAGCAAACATAGAACTAGAAAAAAAAAGCATAAAAATTCATAATAAAATAATAAAAATACAACCTCCATCCTCCCACCTCCACTCCAATCTACTGGTAAAGCAGAATATCTTTTTTTTTTTAATTTAGGCCCAAATTATTCATATTATTTATTCTGTTGAAATTCACCAGATGTGAATGTAGTTTACCAAGTCTTTTAATCCTATAAAAAGAACTTGATCATCTTTATCTCAGCAGATTGTTTTAACAATGAGGGACGATGTGTGGAAGCTGAGTAGCACTGTGCTAGGCACATAGCAAGTGCTCAAATGATTATGAAGATAATTATCATTTAAATAGTACTAACAAAGGTATATCCCTTCTCAGTGTATGATTCCTTATTTCCTGTAGTACTTTACTTAGTACTTAAATTTATTCTTACAAAGATGATAACTTGCAGTATGATAAAGTCATGGATTTCTAGCACCTTCTGCCTCATACATTTACCCTTTTACAGGAATATTGTAGTAGCTTTAACCAACTGAGATCTCTGCTACGCTTGAGACATTGAGACTATTTCTCCCAAGTTAAGGTTTCAATATCTTCAGGCTGGCTACCTGGCTCATTCCTGATCTGAATTTTAAAGATAACTTCCATTCAATACCTGAAGGCTACACTTTCTAATTCACGCAACACTTCCTTCCACCAGTTTGTCTCATATCAACTGTTTGGGCGAGCAAGCTATCCCTTTTCCATTTAGATTTATTAATATAGGGTTATATAAAACAATGTAAAAATGTGGAAATGTTCAATATTCAGTGCTGCATGCACTGAAATGTTATAAGAAATAATAAAATGCTCAACGTCTCAAAACAGACTTTTAATTTGCTCTGTCTATATTATGTTTGTTACTTTGGGACTTCCTGATACGTTCATTCTAACACAAATTGAAATACATGTCATCTTGGGATACTGACATTTATTTTAATAATTCAGGTCTCTCTAGACAATGACATGGCCACAGCACATGTGGGAAAATGGATAGTAACTAGGTAAATAAGACCCATTTCTATGGGCAATAGCATTCTACTATGGTCAGATAAATATTCACATATGTCCTGAAAGTGCTCCAACTATGGAGATAAGCTGTCTCAAAATAAGGAACATATGTGCATTCTCTGATTTCTTCTCCCACATCAGAAACCTACAAACACCAACCTTTACGTGGATCCCCTTGGTGCTGGTGATTTTTTTACTTACGAACTTCAAACTCTTATTCTCCTTTTCAATAAACAAGTATCTTGTCACCTGTTCAATTCTTGCCACCATTGGCCCTGCTGTCATGACCTCAGTCATCCAGCTTGCCCTTGGCCTCCGAGCGCCTGCTCTTGACCCCCACCCACCACAACTGGGTCTTCACAGCTCGCCATCTACCTTGCCAGTCCCCAATCTGGTCCTGTTCTAGAGCTGATGAGCGTGGTTAACAAATATTACAAAACTTGCAAAGGTATTTAAATTGGAAAACTAATTGGAGCACTGTTGATACCTATCACCCTCATATATATCCTTCACACCAAATCCTTAGAGACAATAGAAAACATTTCATAAAATAACTGGAAAGGAAAAAAAAAGCGTAAACTGGCAGATTAGACACTGTGAGAAATGTCTGAAAAACAGAAAGCAGATGAGCGCACAGAGAAGGGGGATTCACTGCCCAATGCTAGATATTGGAAGCAGAGATTAACATGGAAACTAGGAGATTTAAGATATGTGGGTGACACAGAAGTTCTAACATCAGTTTAAAAGCACTTCCAGAAGGACAAAATAGAGAAAATTGGGGTAAAAGACAGCATTTAAAGAAATTTTATGGGAAAAATTTTCAGAACTTTAAAGATCCTCCTGGTTACAAGATAAGTTAAGATGAAACATTCACAAACACCCCCTGAGATATATTGTGATAAAATATATGAACATCAAGAATAAAGACAAAATCTTAAAAGCTATTACAGTCGAAAGAAAGCTTACTTACAAAGAAATAAGAAGCAAATTGACATCAGACTCCATGTGAGCAACCCAGGATACAAGAAGACAATAAAATATCTTCAACATTCTAAGGGAAAATAACTTTGAAGATAGAATTCTACATCCAACCAAACTATTAAAGTGAGAGGCAGAAATAAAGACATTTTTAGAACTGAAAGGAAATTTGAAGTTTACTATCTCAAGATTGTCTCTGAAAGAACAGTGAGACAATATAAACCAATGATAATAAGAAGAAATCCAGAAGAGGGAATGAGATAAAAGAAGTAATGGACAACAAGGAAATACAATATATTAAGTCTAAATAAAATTTTATTTAAAAACATATACATATGTACACTTTTAAAGTATAGCCATTTGGATATAAATATCAAAATAATACTTATGATGGAGATAGATGAAAGTTGCAAGGGAGCCGAGGGAAATATTGAGTTGTTGGAAAACTCATGATGCATGTTTAAGACAAATGGCACTAGTTCATTTTTGAAAGTACTAGAGTCATTCGCTATGTTATTGCTATGTCATTTGACAGCTGACAGTTCTAGCTTCACCCTAAAAAAAAAAATTGAGTGATTTGGTTGAGTTTTGGAGATTTCACAAGTTGAAGATGGAAGACCAAACTGTGCATTTATGGCATATTTTACTGTTTTACTTCCATAAAGGGAAGAATGCATGTCAAGCTTGTGAAAAGTTGCATAAAGTTTATGGTGACAATGCTCAACAAGAATGTCAGTGGCAATGATGGTTCACGAAATTCCATGCTGGTGATTTTTATCTCAATGATGCTCCTTGGTCAGGGAGGCCCACCGAGGTTGATGATAACAAAATAAAGGCATTGATCGAGTCAAACCCACGTTACACGACATGAGAGATTGCACAACACAATGTGCAGGAGCACTGAACATCTATAATCCAAGCACTTATGACCACCTGAAGAAGCTGGGATGCGTCAGCAAGTTTGATATTTGGGTTCCGCATGAACTCAAAGAAGTTCATTTGACGGTGCATATAAACATCTGCAATGTGCTCATAAAATGCGAGGAAAACGATCCTTTTTTGAAGCGACTGATAACTGGTGATGAGAAGTGGATTGTTTACAATATGGTGCACAGTCTTGGTCCCGATGTGATGATTTGCCTCAAATGACATTAAAAGCAGACATTCATCAGAGGAAGGTTATGCTTTTAGTGTGGTGGGATTTTCAAGGTGTCGTGTTTTTTGAGCTCCTACCAAGGAACCAAACAATCAATTTGAATGTGTACTGTTGAAAATTGGACAGATTGAACAAATCCATCATCCAGAAATGTCCAGAGCTTGTTAATTGTAAAGGAGTTGTATTCCATCGCAACAATGTGAGACAAGTTTGATCACCCATCAAAAATTATTGGAGCTTGGATGGGATGTGTTGCCACACCCACCATACTCGCCTGACCTTGCACTGTCAAACTTCCACTTGATTCACTCTCTTCAAAACTCCTTGTGTGGTATAACGTGCAATTCAGATGAGGCTGTAAATCAGCACCTTGTTAAGCTTTTCGCAAATAAAGACAGGTCCTTCTATGAATGAGGAATTATGAAGCTCACTGAAAGATGGCAAAAGGTTATTGAACAAAATGGGCAATATATCGATTGATCTTTGTTTTTATATAAATAAATGACCTTTGAAAAACATACAAAATATGTCATGACTTTTCCGACAACCCAATATATGTATGCTAAGCTTCTTTTTATTTTTTTGTTCTCAGGAATTTTAGAGATACTGATTAACTCTAGATGTTAGAAAAAATGTTTGAGCATTTTTATTAACAATGTGAAAGTAACCACAAAAAGGTTGGTACAAATAATATACTTGTAGAATAGTAGAGTAAAAATAGAACTAAGGGAAAATGTTATCATTCCAGTTAAAAGTGAACAAAGGGATGACAAACTAGGAAATATAATAGAAAAGAAAAACAAAGAATAACAGAAATCAGAATATCAGAAATCACAATGGAAATGTTTAAATTCACTAGTTAAAAGTTAACTTTTATATTGGATTAAAAAAATCAAAATTTAGTACTGCATTTATGAGACATACCTCAAACCCA